GGTTTAATTCATATCGATGATTGTTATCAGTATTGTAATATCGGAAAGAAATGTCAATAGGAATTAGAAGATAATAAATTGGAATAATCGATTGATAATATGATTTGTTAAAATTTGTTTATACATTTAAAATCTTTCTTCATTGCTTGTTAGTGCTATTTTTCCGGTTTAATTCATAACGTTGATTGTTATCAGTATTGTAATATCGGAAAGTAATGTCAATATGAATTAGAGTAGATTGAAATAATCGAGTGATATGATATGTTAAAATGCATTTAAAATCTTTCTTCATTGCTTGTTAGTGCTATTTTTCCGGTTTAATTCATATCGATGATTATTATCAGTATTGTAATATCGGAAAGTAATGTCAGTATGAATTAGATGATAATAGATTGAAATAATCGATTGATAATATGATTTAGACTATACTTTAAAATGGTTGATATTGTTTAAATGATGATACTAATGATCCGTTTCTTTTTTTCCCTTTCTCTTTTAATTAATAGCAATAAATTTAAAGTGAAGTTTTCTTTCTTATTTGAATTTAGTAATCAATTAGTCAAAAACAAAAATGATAAAATAAATTTTAATGATCGGTTAATTTTTGTTGTTTCTCTTTTGCGGTAAACGATTGCATTTCCTTTTCTCATCCATTTCATTTCATTTCGTTACCAATTAAAATTTCAATTTGAAAAATTTCTTTAATTACTGTTGCTGTATTTTTCTCTTTCTCTCTTTTTTTTTCATATTGTTTTTTCCTTTTCCTTCAAATATTTTCTTTCATTCATCCATTTTGAATATTCATATTCGCATTGGATGAGAATTAAATGTGTATAAATGTAAGAACTAAAAATATTACCAACAAGAAGATCTAAAGCATATGAATAAGATGATATGATAAATAATATCAGCAAGAAGACATAAAGCATAAAAGATGATAATATGATAATGTAAATGAAAGAGAGAAAGAGAAAAATATGAATGGAAATTTTTATAATTTTTAGCAATTTTAAAAATTTGAAAATTTATAAATTTAGTGAGTTTTCTTTTTTTGTTGCAATGTAATATAATATGGATCAATTTAATATAATATGGATTGATTTGTAGAAAACTTAGTTAATTTAATAAATGGATAATCATTTCTTTCTTATTTATATTTTAGGAATTTTTATAATTTTTTCAATTTTGGAGTAAAATTATAGAGTTCCTGAAATGTGAAGTTTGGCAATTTTTTTAACCTAAAATGATATGAAATGGATTGATTTGTGAATTTAGTTAATTTAGAATTTAATAGAATATTCATTTCTTCTTTTTATATTTTAGGATTTTTATAATTTTTTCAATTTAGGAATAATTTATAAATTTCGTGATTTCATTTTTAATTCTTTTTTTTTGATTAATATATATAATTAAGTTTTACAACCTATTTTATTTTGGGAATTTCACTTAAAAGATTCTTACAGTTTTTTTTTGCGAATAAATTTTATAAATTATAAAAGTATAGTGAAAGTAGTAGTATATTATTATTTAAAAATATGATATGATAAAAATTTAATTCATAAATTTTATTTGAGAAAAAATTGATGATATATTAGACAGTTATATTTATTTCACTCCAAATCTATAAATTATTAATTTAATTAATATATATACTAACCTATGCATTTACTATTAATAAAAGATATCGTCGAATGAAATACGATATTTCTTCTTTACAAAGAAAATTTCTGTTTTGATATAAAATTATTAAAAATTTGATGATACTTTTTAAATACTCTTTGAAGTTATTGTTTTTTGCAAAAATATTTATTTCAATTTTTACAAATTTTTCTTCCGGGAAAAATCAGGGAAAAGCCTTTTACGGATAATATGATGTGTAATTCAGTAATATTATTAAGTGCTATTGTTGATACAATTTCCGGATTTATTTGATACCTTACTTACTACTAGCTCTTTAGGTATGAAACAATTAATTGATGATAGCAAATATCAACAATTCTTTTTATCATATTTCTAACATTTTATCTCTGTTGCATGCTGCAAATCCGTATTGGTATTTCCGTAATTGATATTTCCGTAACAGAGATAAAATGTTAAAAATTTGTTTGTTTATTCCGTTGAGAAAATTTTTTCCACCTCATTGCATTTACAAATCAATTATTTAAATTCCTACAGCTAGCTGTCTTTAAAGCTCTCTTCCAAATAATTCCATCACTAACCGGATTATTTGATTCCTTTTTTTTATGATATTCAAATGATGATACTAGTATGTTGCAGTTTTGCAAGTTGCATGTTGATAATATGCTTCCAAATAATTCCATCACTAACCGGATTATTTGGTTCCTTTTTTTTATGATATTCAAATAATGGATGATATTATTAGCATGCTGCAGTTTTGCAAGTTGCATGCTGATAATATGCTTCCAAATAATTCCATCACTAACCGGATTATTTGGTTCCTTTTTTTTATGATATTCAAATAATGGATGATATTATTAAATATGTTGCAGTTTTGCAGGTTGCATACTGATATATGCATGATGCATGCATGTTATGAGTTGTAAGTCGTAAAATCTTATTGCTCTTTAAAAATGTTTGTAAATGCAATTACATATGTATGTATGAATGTATGTTTTTTTTAATGATATAAATAATCAATTAGTACTATTTCTTCTTTTCTTCCATTCTCTATTCATATATATTTTTCACTCTCTTGTCTCTTTGTTTCCTTCTTTTTTCCTATTTCTTTATCATTTCAGCAATGAGAGAATAGGACAAACAAACAAAATAAATCCTTGTAAAACAGAAATGAGAAAAAACATGAGAGGTAGCAACAGGTAAGAGAAGAGAGGAGGAGAGGAGAAAATATATAGAGCGTAGAGAATGGATGTGTGTGTGTCTTTCATTATCAGCGTCTTTTTGAAGTCCAATTTTTCCGTCTCGCTATCTGTCATTAAAATTATTATTACTGGTATTAAACAACTCACGTTTAGAGTTACACGTATGTTATATTCGAGGCCTAATCTTTTATAGAGGAAAAGTAAGAGAAGGAGAATGGAAGCAATATCATAGGATTATGTTTTAGATTTACACGTACGTTACGCTATATTCGAGGCCTAATCTTTTATAGGGGAAAAGTAAGGGAGAAGGGAAATGGAAGCAATATCATAGGATTATGTTTTAGACTTACACGTACGTTACGCTATATTTGAAGCGTAATCTTTTATAGAGGAAAAGTAAGTGAGAGAAAGGAAGCAATATCATAAGACTATGTCGTAAGTGACGGAAATTTCGTTATATCGCATCATTAATTTTTTTTGACCTTTCATATATGGAATAGTTTTCTGAACTTTAAACATGTTAAATGACATTGAGAACTATCGTAAATGTTTACTAATGTTATTACTACTGTTATTGATGTTGTTGTTGTTGTTGCTTCATTTTCTTATTTGTTTATTGTTTATTCGTTTTCCTATTATTATTTCCATAAAGAATTAATAGAGGAGGAAGAAAAAGAACAAATAGAAAACCACAACAACAACAACAACAATAATAACAACAAAGAAACTGAATTGATAATTAATTTGTAAGCGTTATTGATTGCGATGAATCAATTCTTTTCTAATATTCAATTTTATTTCAGCTTAAATTCGACCTAACGATTGATTGATTTTAACGATAATTTTGATTGATTGATTTTAACGATAATTTTTGCAATATTCATTCATTCATTCATTCATCGTAGTGCTTGCACTATTTTGGCTAATTGATTTATTGAGGAATAAAAACTGATCGATAGCGATATATGTATTTGTTTGTGTGTTTTTATTGATGACACACTGTTGACAACCATATGTCATCATCATCATCATCATTATCATCAACGTTTATACTTTCTGTGGTAAGTGATGTCTCAAATTTTCTTTTAAAAAATGAAATTTGTTCTTCACATAAATATAATATGAATATATAGCTTTTACTATTACTTGTCTTTCCGGTAATTAAATTGTTGTAATATTTTTCCTATTCCTTTTCCACTAATTAAAATCATTTCGTAAGAATTTCACTTTCATTCCTTAACATTTATCACTCCATGCATTTTGCCTTTCCCGAAAAATTTGATAACAATAATTGATAGTATTTTTGAAAATTTTTGTTAATCATATAGTTTCATTTGTGTTCTTTTCCCGTGATATTTCTCTCAAAAAAATTATGTTGCTCCCGTATAATACAGAATTGACGGATTTAACGGATACGGAACAGTGCAGAAAGAGTAGTACGGATTTAACGGATACGGAATAGTACGGATAGAGTAGTAGATGCAGGAAAATTTTTATCAATCATATAGTTTCATTTTGTATTCTTTTTCCGTCCATATTTCTCTCAAAAAAAAAATTATGTTTATCCCGTATAGTACGGATTTAACCGATTTAACGGATACGGAATAGTACGGATAGAGTAGTACATGTAGGAAAACGTTATTATACATGGATTCTTTATGACAAATTAGATCACCGATTCATTCTTACTGAACTTTTTCTGATTTTTATATCTTTTTACTTTTTCCTGAAAATTTTTAGCTATACTATTTGATGATATCACTTATGAATTACATTATCACTCTTTGGTAGAAGAAAGTTAATTCTGAAAATACTGATGAAAATTTTAGTCTACATTTTTTTTAAAAAAATTTTCCCTAAGTTTAACTAATCTCCGTTTCGTTTTGTTTACTAAAAATTGATGAATCATTTTTTATGTGAACCTATTTGTAAACAACACATTTCTCAATTATTTACAATTCATAGTTAATTTCTCCTTGAGTGATTTGTTGTTTTCCCATTTGTTTATCACTTTTGTAAATAAACTAAATTGCTCGAAAATTTATTTTGCAAGAGAAACCACTCCTATTTGTCCTTATTTAAAAATATTTGTCATTTACAGATGTGAATGAATATATTGCCGAATCTTAACTTGTTTCTGTTTTCTGGTAAAGCGTAAAGATGTCACCAATGCCATCAACTCCATCATCATCTTCAACTTTTTATCGAAATCTATGGCGTTTAACAGAACGGAATAAGAAGCAAAAAAATGAAAGCTTAACAAATAGTCGTTCGAATAGTGATGAAGCGATTAGCGATCATAGCAATATGCCACAGCAGCAACAACAACAACAACAACAACAGCAATTACAACAATCCGTAGAAGTGTCATATGGAGGAGCTGAGGATTTGTCACCACCACCTAAAGGGTTTTGTTTTCATTTATGCAAATACTAAATTTTGCAATGTTGTTGTTAAAAATATTTACAATTTTAGGTGAAGCGGGGTGGTTTAAACTAATTGAATTTATTATATTTCGAAAGATAGCAATAATTCGATATTAAAAGAATAGGAAATTTGAAGAGATTCTTTTTTTCGACCTTTTTCCAACATTTATTTTTCTTTCGTTTACAAACAAAAGTTGAAAATTAGAAATCGTAGAAATCGACACTTATACTTTTTAAAACTTTAAATGAATTTAATTTATCGCCGCTTTCACTCACTTCATAAATTAGAATCATAAAAATACGACTGCGATAATTGCGACGTCATATTTAACAAATGAAAATTAATGTTATTTTAAAAGTGAAAATTGATGTTATTTTAAAAATTACCTTAATTGTTTAACAAAATTAATCATACTTATTATCTTTGCCGCACATATGTATGCGTATGTGTGTGTGTGTGTGTGTGTGTGTAAAAAGAAAGCGAAAGAGAGTGAAAGGTTGTTCTAGTTGAAAACAGGTTTGATGAAAAATGATGAAAGGACAGTTTTCGCATAGTTTACCACTTCAATGGTCTGTTTTGCTATTGGACTACATTGTTTCGACGTATATGTCAATATTGTTATATGTGGAAAAATACCACTATTAGCTTAATGTGAAAAATATATCGAATAGGAGAATATATTTATTTTTTTTCGGCATTTTTTTTTCAATGGCATTTCTTTTGTTTTAGAAGTTCGAAAAATTACGCTTAATTATGAATAATATTATCTATTACACTTAATTATGATTAGTATATATCACGCTTAATTATAGATATATTATTGCGCCTAATTATGAATAATATTATATATTACGCTTAATTATGGATATATTATTACGCTTAATTATGAATAATATTATATATTACGCTTAATTATGATTAGTGTATATCACGCTTAATTATAGATATATTATTGCGCTTAATTATGAATAATATTATATATTACGCTTAATTATGCATATTACGCTTAATTATGGATGTATTATTACGCCTAATTATGAATATATTATATATTATTCTTAATTATGAATATATAAATTTAAACTGGTTTCATTAATAATTTAAATTTATCTCGATCCTTTACTGCATATATATATTGATCTCTTCTTTATTCAATTTCTTAAAAAATATTTTATCTTTTATTTCTTATTTAAAATCCATTGTTTATATGATTAAATTTAGCCTTTGTTTTTTTACCCTTTATTTACTCAGCGGAATTTTTGAAAAGAAATGAGAGAACAAAGGGTTTTTGAAAAAGAAAAACATAAACAATAAATATCCTTTTTTTTATTTCTGGTTTTTGTTTTAAATGCTTAATTAAAATGCTACAGTATCATATAATTCATCTTTGTAGATATATCGGTAGATATATAGTTTTCTTTGTAAATTCTTGTAGATAATATAGTTTTCTTAAATAGCAATCTTGATATTTGTTGGACTAGAAATTTTTATACTTACTTTTGAGAGATATTATAGAGACGTAGTGTTATGATTATTTATAAAATGAGGTTGAGCAATGAAAGGTATGTTTTAATTACTTAACTTTGATTGCGAGCTAATTTAACTTTGAGGCAAATATATATAGGCCAAAAATATATTGCAAGCCTAAAAATACTCAAAATAACTGTCACAAAAAGTTTGTTTAATAGCTTTAGAATTCAGGATAAAAGAAAATTATTGATGTTGATCATATATATATATATATATATATATATATATAAAATGCAGTAGATCTGTATTTGAATGCAAAATTGTTAATTACCAATATGTGCTAATTACTAATATGTTAAAGTTAGACAATCTAATATGTTAAATAAAATTAAACAGACTTATATAAAAGTTATAAGAGTATAAGATGTTGTAAATTCATTCATAAAAATAATCATACATAATAGTTTCAAATACATTAATTAATATAACATTTAGAAATTAAAATAAAATAATCCGCAAAATGAAGAAAAGTTTTTTTTAATATTTAAGGTTGTCAGATATATTGCTTAGTGATAGTAATGAATGTCTTTCTTTTATCTTTTAATATAGGAATATGAGTGGTACTCAAATACAAATGATATTATTTGAATTCCAATTAATTTGATACGAAATTTAGTAAATAGAAATCATTCTTTTTATCTGAACTCTTTGATTACTTTAGCCTGTAGTAGTTACCTTTCTGATAAATTCTCCGTTATCTCTCTGATAAGGAGTTCATTGAGTATTTGTATTTATTTTTAGCAGTTACCATTTATCGTTTATCAATCCTTATTTATCATTTATCAGATTATCAGGTCTTTAGTATATTTTGCTTATGATAATTTCCAAGAATATCGTCATATTTTAATTATGGAAAATTTTGTTTTATTCCAAAAGCATATAAAGATTTTGTTGATATGTATCATTTATTCAATCCTCTCAAGATCTATTCCGTCTAGACATTCAGTTTCAGCTCATTTAAATTGTTCGATTACTCGTTCCAGCTCATTAATTCTTTTGATTATAGATTTCATTCGTTCCTACGAAATTGCTATCATAATTATTTGACTATAGTTGGCAATTTTGAAATGCTTTTCCTTAATTTTGATCGAAATTGACTGATGATGATATTAATTAATTCTGTACGACGACTATTTTGTATAGTATCCCTTACCATATTATTTCTGAAAGCATAACTATTCCATCTGATAGATTTTCAGGAAGATTATTATAGGGAAGCCTTATAACCATTTTGAGGATTGGGAATTCGATTATGAACGAAATGAAATTTTTAAGGAAGGATTTAACTTTTTTACGGAATAATGTAATCATTGTTTTATTGGCATTACAATTTTGCATCGAAATATCCTCAAAAATATAAAGGGATATTAAGTAAATTAAGAGAGGATAATACTGTAACATTTATGGGACATTTATATTTCTCCAAAATTCTTTTCAGTAATCGATATTTTGTATAAGTAAAGGTAATGAAAACTTATAAGGTTACTATTACCAGATATTCTATTGGATTATAAGGTTACTATTACCAGATATTTCATTGGATTATAAGGTTACTATTACTAGATATTTTATTGGATGATAAGGTTGCTATTACCAGAAATTTTTTATTGGAAGAAAGAAGAGCATTTTTGCGTATCAATCGATAATAATGATAAAATATAATAGTTTGCTTAATTATTTTGTAATAATAATAGAAGTGAAAAAAACTTTCACCTTTATCATCGTCATGATAAAGGTGAAAAATTTGCTACATAATATCTTAATCTTTTAGAATTTAAGTTTGTAATTTATATCATATTTAAATTGTTAAAATCAATAATAAATTTTTCATTAAAATCATTAATAGCAGAAAATTTCATATTCTTTTTCAATACTATATCAATAGAATTTAATATATAGTATAATATATCGATTTCAAATTTGAAAGTTAGTGTTAGTTTAATTGTTATTTGTGATGATTGAAATGGGAAAAAGAAATGGAAGAGCCAAGATTTATGGATAGCCTAAGAGTAGTAGTAGTAGTAGTTGTAATAGGGATTTCAACAATCATTCTGCCTTATTTACATTTTGCATTCCACATTTGGCTGTTATTCCAAAAATTTTTCTTCCATTTAATACTTTTCCAAAATTTTCTCTTAAACAAAAATTTCATCTAATGATGAGAATAGTTAGAGTTAGAAGTTCAAAAACAATTAGATGAAAAGTTGGTGTTAGAAGTTCAAAAACAATTGGATGAAAAGTTAGAGTTGGAAGTTCAAAAATAATTAGATGAAAAGTTAGAGTTAGAAGTTCAAAAACAATTAGGTGAAAAGTTAGAGTTAGAGGTTTAAAATAAATTAGATGATATATGTTAAAATAAATTAAATGAAATTTTGAATACTATCAATCTCGTTGTTTTTGCAATCCATGTAAAGTAAGGCTTTTCATTAATATTTCACCTGAAGTTTTCTCTTTTTTCCTTCCACCAATATTATCGAAACATATCATTCGTAGTTAACACTTATATGTATATGTTATTCGAATGTATAATTATTTAATTTTTGCAATCTTTTGTTTCAAATTTTCTTGTCAAATAAGGAGGAAAATATCTTATAATTAATTGTGTGTAAGTTTAAATTCTCTCCATTTTTAATATTAGTTTACCTTTAATTTGAATGCCTTATAATATAATCTGTCTGTTAGTTCTGAAATGTTCGAATGATGGATATTTGAGAGAAAATTGGAAATGAAATTTGTAATCTCTATAAGTGCTTAACAATTTTTAAATTAAGATAGTTTTTAAATATTTTCAAATAGTATTGTTACGAAAACTTTTAAATAATATTATAAGAAAAGATGATTTTTTAATTAAGATAATTTTTCAATATTTTCAAATAGTATTATTAAAAAGTAATTAACATATGCATATGTATTAGCCGATGAAAAAATGATTTAATTAAGAGAAAGGTTAGGAATAAATGTAATTAGTTTTGGAGCATTTTATATTTCACAACCAGTTGTAGGTGTAATTTGTTGCAAAGACAAATGGTATATTATTATAAGTGATAAATATTTCTTAAATACACCTACCTTAATTCAAAATTTAAGAAATTTTTTTTTAATGATTAGATTTCATATATTTCTTTATTTCCAATTTAAAATGTTAATTTGATGGTGATCTTATCATTTTCCTAATTTCTGCCTATTTTCATTTATCTATCATATGTTTATTATTGTTTGATGCATAGCATATTTTTCCATTAATATGCCATCTATCGTTCTATTTATCAGTCTTCTGCACTGTTTGTCAATTTAACTAACTTGTTTATCAGTCAATTTAACTGGCAGGCAAAACTATATTAACTGATATTAACAGCAATCATACAATACTTTTTCGAATCGTATTAATTTGAATAATTTGAAGGAATTATTTTTTGTTTATTACACTTTCCAAACCTTACTGTAATATAGTAGTTTTGTTTATGTTTTTGTTTTACAGGTTGAAATTTAGATAATTAAGAAGAATTATTATTTCTTCTGGTTGATTACACTTTTAAGCATTCATTCATTCGTGATATTATCACAATAAGCTTTTTTGTGATTGATCGATATCATTGTTGTGTCACAATTTGTAACGTCGATTGTTTGTGAAAATTTTTTCACATGATATCATTCATATTTAAAACATGATTGATATTTATTAGAACTTCATAATTCATATTTATAACTGCATGAATGACTGACTTGCAGTAAGTCTTTTAAATCAAAACATTGCTAAGCAATTTTTATTGAGAGAAATATGATCGGATAGTATTTGCATGAAGATAGAAAGCAATAAAACTTAAAATGATAAATGATAAATGATAAAATGACGAAACCGAGAAGATACAAATATGAATTATGAAGATTTCTAAAAAGGAAAAGAAGAGGAAAATTATAGCTTTTATACATACACTACATTATCTTTTCTAATTTGGCTAGACTAGATTTGTGACATTTTGAGTCTAAATTTGATAATTTGATTTAAAAATATTGAATTGATGAATGTTTAGTCGAAATTTGATAATTCGATTTAAATGTTAAAATGATGATGAATTGCGGTATTCATCGTTATTTTTATTTCTTTAAAAGTATTTCTAAATTACTTTAAATTATTGTGAAAGTTCAAAAATTCATTTGTTTGTTTAACTTTATTTTCGTTCTTCCTCAATTAAATAATAGCTCAATAGGACAAAATGTTTTTTTAGTAGTAAATTTTATTTCTCAAAAATTTTGAATTCATTTCAAAATAACTTTTACCTTAACTTACTCTTACTTTTCTTCTTCTATCTATCTTCAACAATATAATAATTCTCTTCATTTTGCTCATTTCATATATGAATTTAGTATTGCTACCAGCTATATACTTAATCTTGTCTATGAAGGAGATTTTCTTTTTTCATATATTACCAAATAGCTTGTTGAAAATTCATCTTCTTTTTGCTGTATCGTTTATTTCCTTAATTTTTCAAAATTGTTTATTCATCCTCCTTCCTCAAGCAAATACCTCAATAGTATAAAATAAATTTTTAGTAGTAAAATTTCATTTCTCAAAAATTTTGAAAAATTTTTTCTTCGTGCAAATTCTCTAGCAGAATATGGATTGTTGATTTTCATTTTCCTAATGCTATCTATCTAATATTTAAGATAGGATTTATGTTATGCTTTAAATTCTCTTCTTTCCTTCATCTCTCTCTCTCTCTCTCTCTCTCTCTCTCTCTCTCTCTAATATTTCTGCAAAATTTTATTTTTAAATTTCTTTAGAAATATTTTTAAAAAGACAAAAATGATGAGTAGTACTCCCATTCATTCATCATTTCAATATTTAAATCGAATTATATTAAAATGATGAATCGATGGTATTCATCATTTTGTTTTCTTTTAGAATAAATCAAGTTTATTAGGTTGAGACCGTATGATATGATATGGAGATTTATAAATCGTTAACTGAGATGCATCTCATGATCTATAAATTTTGGACCTTCGAATGGTACTACTGTTGATACATTAGATTATGTAAAATTGTCTGCAATAGTTTCGATTGAATGAGTAAAATGACTTAATGCTTTTTTTGTCCAATGGTAGCACTTTTTGTAATTGACTAAATTTAATTCTAAATTCAATAAGATTTTAGAAACGTTGTGCATCGTGGAATGGATCGAATACGGCGTTCACTTCGGGAATCATTTCATCGCCGAATGTCCAGGCAAGATTTCAGACGTAGAACTCCATCCAGACGACAGTCTTCACCGAGCAGGCTAAAAAGCAATTCAGGTTTCAGTAAAGCGGAATTATGGCAACCGGATGAAATTGCTGTTCGAAATGGCACGTGCAATTTTATTGTTAAGGTTGGAACCTCCGAATTGTTCAATTCAAATTTAATGAATTAAATCATTACGTTATTTAAAAGATCCAAAATTTTATTTCACTTTTTAAACTTTTAAATATTCTTGACTTTATTTTCAGTTTTCCTACGATGTATTTTTAAATTTTTATGCCCATTTTAATTTTCCACTATGGTTGTTTGAACAAAAATTTATAAAATCATTTAAGTATCTTGGCGGTATCGAAGTGTTTGAATCACGTGGTATACAGATTTGTGAGGGAGCTTTGAAATTATTGAGGGTATGTTTTTAAGCTTGCTTAATTGATAGCTCTTACTGTTACTGTTTTAGTTATTTCAATATATGAATTACGTTTCTTTCTTAAAAACGACCATGAAATCTGGTGTAAATTATATCCAATTAGTTGTTGTGTTTCTAATTTAATTGGTTGCAATGGTAAAAATTTGAAGTTAGTTATAAATGATACTAAGATAGATTGACATACCTCAACGAAACGAAATGTATAACCGTTAAATACAGAAGAATTGATAGCGAACTACTTGACAGTTTAAGGATTGTCTTAGTTCTTCAACTGTAATCTCAGTCCTTTTACATACAAGATGAAAATATTGCGCTATACTTTTTTTTAAAAAGGCAATTAAAGTTGATGGATTTAAAGATGTTCAGAAAAATTCCCCTTCAGGGACAACGACGACGACCAATTAAAGCAATTCTCTATGTTTCCGGTGATGGTTTACGTGTTGTGGATCAGGAAAGTAGTCGTGGCTTAATAGTCGATCAAACTATTGAGAAGGTCCCATTCATTCTTTATCTTAAATAATTTTATCTAATACCATCCCTGCTTATCCGTTGTTATTTCCCTACTTGGTGTAATGGCCTACATGCTTCTATTTTCTTTTTTAATCTTATCAGTCTTATCCTTTTATCTTCCGGCCTCCTTAAATTTTGATTTATTTCTATTCCACTGTTCGCAATTAGCTTTATCTTTTGTTCATCATTTCAACTATTTGAACAACATCAATGAATTGTATTAAAAAGATATTCTTTACTAATTTTCCATTTGCATTTAAGGTATCATTTTGTGCACCTGATCGAAATCATGAAAAGGGTTTTGCTTATATTTGCCGGGATGGAACATCGAGACGATGGATGTGTCATGGATTTCATGCAATAAAGGAATCGGTAAAATTTAACTGTCATAATCATTTAGAATGAAGTGCATGCTTATGCTTATTTGATGTTCCTCCCTAGTTGAGCATTTGATTTTCGTTTTTAAATTTAAATCTTAAAAAATGAAAATTTTCATTTTATTGAAGGGTGAACGCTTAAGTCATGCTGTTGGATGTGCATTTGCGATTTGTTTGGAAAGGAAGAAAAAGCGTGATTCGGAAGCTGCTGCAGCAGTTCAGGCAGCTGCGGGTTTACCACCTCTTGGTTGCGAGAAGCCGAGTGTTACTGGTTTTACTCTAGATGAAATTGCCCAACAAAAACCACCACCCATTACAATTAGGTCTATTTTTTAAGAGAAATTTAAACAAAAATAAAAATGATTCTAATAGAATAGGATATCTTAATTTCATCCTTGATAACACTAAAGTGATATTAGATCTTTCCATTTTTATAAAGTGGAAAAGAATTAGTAATGATTCACTGTCAAATTTCTGTTTTCTAAAAAGTTAATTTAATTAATTTGTAAGATAAATAGATTACAAGACTTTTATAACACTAAATTTTGGGATTTCAAAATTTGGAATCTTTAACCAATTGTCCATATATATTTACACATAATTGCATTGTATAATAGCAACGATTAAATAAGTGTAGTAGAGTGTATCTGCTAGGGATCTCGAGCAGATTGAAATAACTTTGTTCATCAAGATCAGATACTCCGTATTACGGATAGCCTAACCATTTGTAGATTCGGATGACTTTTTATTCTAATGAATTCCGGATGACATCACTGGCAAATGTGCCCTCTACATTTGCACCGTTCAGCTACTTACTGATAAATGAAATTGGAATTGATAGCCTAATTTTATGCATCAGTTTTTAGTTCATTCAAACGAAATAACTTTAATGGCTCTTTTCGTCGGTTATCAGTAACAGAGCGATTACGCGACCCGCAGACTGCAATCGTGCAACCACCTCCTGCAACTTCAAATCTGTCATCTGCATTACACATTACGCCGAAACCACGACCTATCGGAAATCGATTACTTCTCGTAAGACAGGTTAATTATCTTGTTTATTCTATAGTTTCCGTTCACTTTTTTTATTTCATATTTCTTTTTTTCATTGAGGTTGATTCATCTTGTTGAAAAATGAGATTTGAATTTTTGCAATACTTACATTTTAGACTTCACTGTGTTTGTATTTATAGTCGTAATGTTTAAAATAATTGTGCTTAAGATTTCATTATTCACAAGTTGTAGAATATTCAGAATATTCGTGTCACGTTTTTAAGGGATCATTGCACGCTCCTGCTTCATATGTCGTCAACACCACCTCATTTCATCGGCAACTTTCACTTCGATCATATCCGGACTCTCCGATTAAGGTTTATAGAATATTTCTGAATTATCTTTTTTTTCCGGAAATAAAAAGAATAGTTTTCTTTTTCCGATAATTTTGATTATAGCGAATTTTCGAGTTTTATCCATGTGATGCAAGATATTGGTTATTTTCAGCAGCAACAAATGTCTGCGACAATTATAGAGAAAGGTGAGCCAATTTTTGAAGATGATGAAGACAAAAGTTGGCTTAATGATGGTGCACTGAATGAGGGAAGCACCTTCGAGAATGCTCCGTATTGTCCAGTGAAATATAATGGATTTAGGTAAAAAAATGCCATTTAATTTTTGGTGAATTTAATATTATCATTATGTTGTGATTGATGTTAATGATTACCCACATCTTTTCCTAATTCTTCGATTTCTTTTTTTGCTTATTTTTTCCTTGCATTTTCTTTCACTCATTTTCAGGCAATCGTTGTCGTATACGGCTGCACCATATGCTGATACCTATGATTTTAGTAATACTCAAACATATGGTTTGATGAATTCTCCATTACAAGTTCAAACCAATTATTCATCAAATGTTAGTGGACCGGAATCGTGGTAATTTCGTTACATACCTTTACTATAACTGAGAAATAGTCCGATTACAGAGGAACTCCAAACCGTGATAGAAATCATGTTGCCTAATATTTAATCGTTCTTAGATTCTAGATAATCTCATTAGGTAGACTAAGAATAGTGCAAATTACTAAGATATGTTTACTATTCATTCATTTGTTAAGTTTGATTTGGTCTACTAGATTTTTATGAATTTTAATAAAAATAATAGATCGAGAAGAAATGACCAACAAGTAATCGTTGATCGTTAAAGTTTAAGATCGACTATTCCTAATTAAATTAGTTTTATAATTTAATTTAAGCTGATGAACATGCAACAATGTAGAATGATGAGAAGTTAGCTTAACCATTTATTTGCAGGTTAAATAGTCCCATTTCAACATGTCCATCAACGGCAAAATCAAAAGCTGATGAATGGCTGGAACAAACATTGCGCTCATCACTATCACTAAATTCACCAAACAGAAATACTGCCAATCTCAGCAGGACAAGCCATACGATAAATAAAAGTTTTACTTTTTTTCTCATGAGTCATTAAAATCAAATTCGCCTTTCTTCCTGTCCCCTTTTAATTCAAAATTTCAATTCTCTATTACTTAATAGGTTTCTTGCAGTTTGTCATTATAATTAAGGCTCATGTTGTATAACTTCAAGTATGTAGATATTAGCTGGGTTCATCTGATTCGTTGCAGTGACTGCTGAAGTTTAGCTTTTGCTCGTATTCTTTTTGATATTTCCTTTAAATTCAAATTTCGCAAGACTTTTCAAAATGTAGCTTTTACATTATTAAACTTATTTTCTGATGAGTTTTTGCTGTCAGTGAAATGGCTAAGAGACTGTTGAGACACTTAACTTTCCATGTTTAGTCTACAAATTTGATGTTTTTTACTTTAGGTGGGCCGCCACCAGATCATCCACCTCCGCCGCTGCCAGGTTCATCAACTTTCCAGGATACAAGTTCGGAGACATCAATCCGTTTCAGCAGTGATTTTTCACAATACGAGCTATCTGGCACAACTGAAGACTTTTCATCTTTGAACAAGGTGAGGCTGAATTTGATAGCAAAACTCTATTGGTCGTTTAGTATTTGCTTAGTTATTTGCTTAAATAACAAATAAATCAAACAAGTAGTTGCAAGTAGAAATCAGAGTTGCAATGATTTGCAATCATGTTTGATGCATTTCAAACTAATCAAATGTGAATGATTGATGAGGTAGATGATGAATTGACTAAAGTAGATTCTAAAAATAGATTCAGTAGTGCCGCCTAGAAGTCTAATGTTTGATATTTTAACTTCATCTCAACAATAAAGAAGTAGCGATTTAGTCGATTTAGTTTAATAAGAAACAAATTCATGTTTTAGTTTGTTCATAAAATTTCCATATTATTTTGTAGAATGCAGCAGCCATACCATCAACATCAACAGAATCCGAGATTGATATTTTCGGCCAACCAGTGTTCAGTGCATTGCTGTCAAACTCTCAGACAAACCAGAAGAAAGATAGTCAGTATTTGAGAAAATTAAATTAAACGTATAGGAGACTATTATTTCAGCAATGGAATTTTTTCCGTCAAGTTATAATTTATGATTAGTATAAATGATTTTTCTATAGGCCGACATAAAAAAGCAGTTGCTTCACTTACTATTTACACATAAACAGCGGATAAGGAAATTGCATAGATATGGAAGTTCTCTAACACTTAATTTGATAATTATGTTTTCGGGCCTTGATCTGTAAAAATCGCGAATTTCGTTTGGATTACATTTGTTGCAATTGAAACGTGGAACGTTTTAACGTTACATATCATTGCAGTTAAAGCGAGGAATCTTGAACTTTCATCCTATCATTAATCGTTGCTAACTCGTTGTAATTTGAAAATATTTTTGGCGATTAAACTCTTATTAAGCATAACTACTGATTATGCATAATTTATAAATGTGCGTAACTGGTGATAGCATAATTTACAATTTTCTTGATTACTGGATGATCTGTAGTGCAATGGTTTTTAGATCAGATGAATGAATGTATGAATAACAAAGAATCCAAAAAACCAGACGAAACCGAAACTGATCCATTCGATGTTAGATGGTCCCATTTAGCTGTAGATGTTGCGACAACATATCCAATACCAGTTCGTTCAACTAATCCATTTTATTCGGAATCAAGTGCCGTGAAAATTTAACAGTGAATGATAATTTTCTTTGTTTTTTCTTTCTCATTAAACTGGTAACTGTTATTGTAATTACAATTTCATCATGATATTTATAAGACACCGAATTTTATTTCTCTTAATGTCGAAAAAGGAAAAGGAAGAAAAAGAGGGGAAAGTATTTGATCAAAAAAAAGTGGGATTTAACTTCGATCATGTAATTTCAACAGATTGAAAAATTTCACCTGTCACCTGTAATATTGATTTTTCTTTTTTGCTTATTAACCATGAAAATATACAAATGAAATAAGGGTACATTAATAGCCAAGGATTTTTTTCTATTGAAAAGCTACGTGAAAAAAATTTCGCTATAAACTGATTAGCAAATTTAAGAAAAGGTATTGTAATTTATGAAAAGGTAATGAAAAACCTGCTAATTAATTGTATTATCAATTATTGAATCGAGCAACGGTAATTATTTCATCTACAAACTACTTTCTCTCGATTTATTTGATAAGCTCACATTCATTTGCAAAATATGCCTTTATTTATTTATGTATGTGTATTTATTTATTTATTTTCATACCGTATGTGACTTGTTTAATTTCGTATTTTTGATAATTATTCTAGTTTATACATTGAATTGCTAAATGCTGTAACTGTTGCTTAATACAAAGGAATGATGCGAGTAAGATCTATCTTATTTATGATCTATAAGATCTTATTATGATCTATGGAAATTTAAATTTTTTAATTCCAGAGATGAAAGAATGTCTAAACGGATCCGAATAATTTCGAATACTCTGTATTGAGGAAATTATTTTACTTTATCATTTATCAAATGCAAAACTTATTTGGATTTAATATTATTCGAAAAGCATAGTTGTTCTATTCTTTGATCGATAATTCAGATATGTCCAGAATATTTCCTTCATAAGTTCATATGATACCATATTCTACAAGATTCGTCAAGCTAGCAGCCATTATTATTGTGGATAAGTTTTTAGGTAATTGTTCTATGTTTTTCCGGTATTTGTATACTTGGTATTCGGTTCATAATGGTACTCCTTATTTATTTCAAATAAAAATCCGTTTCTTTAAAAGTCTTTTGCGTAACATGAAAGTAAGCTGTCTACATCATAAATTCATTATGCAAAATATTCCTTACATATATACAACTGCTATGTCTGTAAAGAAAGAATTAAAACTTGCATTTAAATCAAGTGAAGATGAAATATGATACTGAAAGAATTATTAATTGCAGGATGAGCCTTACCGCTTCGGCTTACTTGAGTTTGAAATTTTATAAAGTGGTATTTATTCAACTGGTAGCAATATGGAGTAAATGAAAACTGGATATTTGTTTTCTATAATTATATCGACCCGAAATTTCTTAGTAATCGAATCAAATATTCGATCACCAAATATTTCGATTATACGTTGGGAGATTTTGGGTTATTCTCGCAATAAAGATCTCTTCATTTTTTTTATACATCCGGATCTGTTTTATTTGCTATCCAAAGATTCATATATTACTTGTTGATCAGTTTTTTGCGTAATTTTATTTTTCCGGTTTTGATCGCAACAGCGAATTTTCTTACCTGTAATTTCTACGTTATATTAAAACAAAAGTTAACTGATATTATTGTTGTGTATTATGTTAAATATGCAGTATTCTTTATCTTTGGAATTATTTTTTGATCATTTTATTTAAACATTTTTCGAGTATGTTTATTAAATATATTCCTTTTATTAATTACCAATATTTGATTAGTCGATAAATGATTGTACGAATTTATCAATTTCTAAATTGAATTTAATCTCAATTTTACATACAGCAAATTTAGATGATATATTTCGAGGAAGAAATTATGCTTTTATAATGAATTATTTTAATTCATTACTCTCATTGATAGCTTCAGTTTGATTTGTGGCGGTTCATTTGTCGTTATAAACGATTTATTGAAGCGACGATACAAATAGAATATAATTAACGGCAAAGTAAAATCTCTCATCCATTCAATAATTTCATCCAACCTTAAATCCTTTCTTAACAGAAAATCTCAAACTGATAATTAATAAAGTATTTTAAACGAAGGTATAACCGAGGATTCATTTCAGTATGAGAATCTCTCTCATATATCAATCTTTTTGATCGATATTGATTTTCGTAAAAAATTCATTTCAGTGGGCAAAAAAAGGTCAGTAAGACGACGAATTAGTACTCGCAGCAGCACTAGAAAGGGTATTACGATATATATTACAATTTCACAAATTTTTATCGAATCATTTTAATGACAGCTTCTTTAATGATAATCAAATGAAATAAAGAAAATGATCAAATCACAACATCGAATTGCTACAAAAAATTATATTGAAATTTTAGCAAAGCAAATTTTTATCATTCCTAATTAATCGTTTTTAGAATTTTCGAAAGACAACAATTTTAATTTTAATAATTTTAACGAAATCAACAATTCCAGCTTTCTTTTTGAATTCTTGAAATTAGTAAAATGATCGGGAAAATTTGAATTCAAAATTTTTAGCTAAAATGAGTCACAATTAAATCTTGTGGGATTACTTAGAAATATATTTTTCAATTGCTCAATCAAATGTTGTAAAATGAGACAAGCATTAAATTAAGCATATATTAATTTATTAATAGAACTTGCCGATGAGGATGGAACACAAATGGAACGCGAATCACGACCGGGTCGTCGCCGGCTTGCTACACTTCAAAAGGGACCGCAAAATCAGGATATGATAGTTCAAATGAAAAATTTTTGCACAAATACTGTTGCTACTGGAGTACAGGTGAACGAAACAATTACCTGCTCACTTCTCTCTTCCTCTCTTTCTCTTTGTTCTTTGAATAATAATTCTTTTCTAATAACTTTATTTTTTGTAAACGAAAGGAAGTGATAATTTTTAGGTAGTGATTAATTTTTATCCAGTACTTAAATTTCAATGGTCAATAATTAGTGACCATTTCAGTGATCATTTCAAATGGTCACTTTTTACTTTTTCTTTAAACATTTAAACTAAATGTTTACTGTTTGAATGTAACACAGAACATGCCTGATACTAGATGATGATAAAAATAGATAATAAATATTGTTGTTTATTTTGAATGAAATGAAAAAGACAGTTTGTTATTCAATTTTGTAAAAATTTAAATCTATTCTTTTATTTCGATTTTTATTAATTAGATATTGGTTAATTATAGCTTTAATTCCTTGTATCATCGGTTACTGATAAATTAAATATAATTTGACAATATATATCATATGACGGATAATCATTTCCATTGGTGTTAAATGAAATAATATAAATTTATGCTATTATTAATTTCATGTAAATATTCGATTCCGGTTTGATATAAATATTCGATTCCGGTTTGATAAAGGAATTTTTTTCTTTTGAAAGGGTTTGATGAAAGAATTTTCTGAAATACGAGCAAGCAGTGTACCGCCATCGCAATTGGTTAAAACTGCATTCGACAAAAATCCGGATAAAAACAGATACAGAGGTTAATTCGATAGTTCAATTAACTAATTAATTTAATTTTAATTTCAATCACATAGCTTTTTCCCTTTTTTTAATTTAATAAGTTATCTTATGATAATATAAATTTAGAATCAACTTGATAGATAAATGATTAACTGATTACTTCTATGATTAAATATTGACAAGAATCAAATCTTCTTTTATCAAAATAAGATGCCGGTTAATCGGATATTTCTCTTAGATGTATTCTGTGTTGATGAGACAAGAGTTGTGCTAAATTACCCACCGGAAGCAAATGATTATATCCATGCAAATTGGGTTGATGTAGTCTCTATCAAACATCGGTTTATCTGTACACAGGTTTGATTTTCTTTTGAATTCTTATCATTTTATCAATTTTTCAAGAACTTCCGTTTTTCTTTATCTTATTTTCACATTTTAATAATTTACAAAAAAAATTATAAAATAATTACAATTCTTATACAATACAAATAATATTTTATTCCTAACATTTATTTTAAAATTTATGATTTTAATTAATATTCAATTAATAATTAATTAATATTGAATTTTAAAACAAATATTTGAATACTAGTAAACATTTATTAGTCTTAGATTTTAAAGTTTAACGTTAAATTCTTGCAACGATTACGTAACTTAGTTTTCAAAATACAACCTTTAATTTGAGTACGATTATTTATCTTAAATTCTAGGGTAGTGCACTTGTGGTAAAAACTACCATATATCTCATTCAATGATACAACAACATTTAAGGCACCAAAAGAGAATACAGTAGAAGATTTCTGGCGTATGGTATGGCAGGAAAGTTGTCGTTCAATAGTTATGCTTTGCAATATCATGGAATGTGGCAAAAAGAAATGTGAACAGTATTGGCCAGCTGAAGAAGGCGAATCTGTAAATTTTGAATTTTCATTTACAAACTCATACTTAATCAATCAATTAATCAATAATTGCTATTACTAACTATTTGTTTATTGCTCAGAAAATATAAGAGATACTATTAATGTTATTGATTATTATTATTATTTATTATTGATTTGTTGTTATTGATTATTATTATTTATTGTTAATTATTCCTTATTAATTAATATTTTTGTTTTTATTATAGAAAGATTATGGAACTCTAAAGGTAACATGCAATCGAGTAGTTCAAGAAGAAAAGATGTTAACAATTACCAATCTAATTATAACTAATGACAGTAAAAAACTAACACTGGAACATATTGCTTGGAATGATTGGCCTGATCGTGGTGTACCCAATAATTTCTTGGCACCATTTCGACTTTTACAACGAATCAAAAATCAAAAACATGTTGTAATTCATTGTTCTGCTGGTATCTTTACTATTACTGTTCATTTTCATTTTTGATGATAAAGTAAGTATGAAAGTATTTAACAGATTGTATGTTATTGATAAATTTAGAAATTTTTAATTCATAAAAATTTTCAATAATTCATTTTTAATTATTCCTCAAATTTTCCTGATAATAAATTGAAATATTTTCGGGGATAATTTTCCGCGTAGTCCTTATATGCTTGTTTACGGTACGGTTTATTATTTATGATTATTCAGGAAAATATTTCCGGAGGAAAAAAAAACATTCGAAAATTTGTTAATAAGAAGAAAAGAAAATATTATCGTTAAATTACTCTATTGGACATTTTTCTAATTTAGGTATTGGTCGAACAGGAACAGTGGTAGGTTTGGATATAGCAGATTCGATGTTCAATGATGGTATGAAAGTTACCATGCGTGATATAGTTCGAGAACTTCGTCTTCAACGTCATGGCTCCGTACAAACTGACATTCAATACGTTTATATACATCGCTGCATTTTAGCACTTTCGGAAAATCGAAAAGTATAATTGCCCTTTTCTTATTTTTTACCTCTCACTTTTAAAATTCAATAAACTTAAAACTTATTGTATTAAATTCAAATATTAGCTTAACTATTTTATCATCACATACAGTATTCCTCGTTTTGGATGCAATTTTTTTTCCATTAATTTGTTAATTGATATTTAAAATTTTTAGCATTTTCCGCCGATATTAAAGATAATGATGACATTTAGCTAAGAAATGTAAAAAGGTTCAAGAAATATTCCACCTAATATTTTCTTTTCATTTTATTATAATAACTTTTTGTTTAGCTAATGCTAGACATCATCCACAATTGGCATTAATTATTTGATTATTAATAATTATTTGATTATTGAACAAATAATAATTATTATCTGATTATTGAACAAATGATAATAATTATTTGATTATCGAACAAATGATAGTAATTATTGAACAAATGATAATAATTATTTGATTATTGAACAAATGATAATAATTATTTGATTAGTGAAAAATAATTATTATTTGATTATTAAACAAATGATAATAATTAATTGATTATTGAACAAATGATGCTATTATTTATAAAAATTTTTAGTAATTAATTATTAATTATTTTTCAAAACTTTTCACAATAAACTGCAAATTGCGAACTTTTAAAGAATTTTCTATTTTTTAAATATTTAATTATTGAAAAAAAATTAAATTAAAAACAAAAGGATAAAAAGAAAAAACTTTTCAGCTTGTCAAAAGAGATGAAATTGCAAGCTTTTTAAGAGATTTTGAATTACTTGCACATGCTCGTGGTAGTACCATTCAAGCAGTACCTACTCCAGCCAAATAGATTATCGCCGATACTTACATATATACGTGTAAATGCTGCATTATCATTATTATCAATGATCGTCTATTGAACAAATGATAGTTGCTATCCGAGAAAACATTTTTTTCGTACAATACGTTTCAATATGCATTCCATTATTGTATCGCTAAATCAATGAAATTCATTTGTGTTAAATCATAAAATAACGCTACTTTTCTTGCACAACTACATTTATATCTTTATCAATTCAAGTAATTAATACTTACAAAAACAATGATAATCATTGTTTCATGTTAATTTCATTAATCAATAATATATTTCTACCCATTACATCTTTTTGTGTACAATGATATATTCAATTATATTCCTGCAATTTAATTGATTCACTTAATTAATCTCTTTTGCTTACTCAAAAGAAATTTTGTTTATTACCAGATAGATTATCAGATAATAGATATGATTACAATAATGGATTATTTGCTATAAAATCATTGTCATAGTGGCGCAAATATTTTTATAATAAAATACGACAATTCAATAAATCACAGTAAAATTTAATGATATAATAATAAAGTATAATTCGAAAATGTTCAATTATAATACAGCAGTTATTTTCTCTTATTTACAAAGTATGATAAGATAATTAAATAATAGAACGAACTGATATAATGATATAATTCATAAATGGATCATAGATATTTTGAATTAATAATCTAAACACTTCAGATAAGTTAATAAATATTTGAATTATACAAAATTCATTTCAAATATTATTTTCAAAAGTTGATTGAAAATTTAACCATGAATATTAATTTCTGAAAATAAATATCTACCATGTTGATATTCATCGCTTGCTCATTATTGATAGAATGAACGAATGTAAAAGAATAGTTAAGCTGAAAGGAGTGATATTGTTTATAGTAGGATGAAATTGATAACGATTATTTGATTGTATCTTTCTGCGATACTCACAAATAATTTTCAATTTTCTTGTCAGTTACATTTGTTTTCATTTCTAGCACTTTATTTATAACACTAATAATTGACAGGTACAGTGATAAAAAATATGAATACTTGATAAGAAATTTTAATTTCAATAATTTATTTGTTTTCCATTGTATATAAATTATACAAATCGGTAAGATAACAACAGCAGCGAATAATTCGTTATTTGATTTATTTTTAATGAAATGAGAAATGAAATTTTCAAGTGAATGATTACTAACCAGATCACATAATTAATAAAACAAAACTAATATTCACGTGACACGTGTAATTTCCTTGTATCGAAATACCACAATAATTAGTACATCGCATAAACTAATTACAATTACATATTTCAGGATTTGCATCATCCAGACCGTCGTTCATCTAAGATAACAATTTCTAACGATAAAGGTAGCACTCCCTCATTATCTTTTTTTGACTTCGTCAATATTGCCTTCACTGTTTCCATCATCGTATAATCTTATCTTTTTTCATTCAGCCTTTATTAAAATATTGCAATTTTGAATTTGCTAACTTTTTCAGATAAGAGATTTATAGTTGAGTTCATGAATTCGAAGTTGCTCGCAGAATCGATTGGTAAAGAAAGAGGCGACTAATTGCCTTCGCAAAAATAACTGCTTTTATTTCGCGTTTGATTTAGAACTTATAAAACTCATATGTATAATCTATTATCTGTATCTATTATCTGCTTTTTTCAAATTTATCTCGTAATCTTTGCTGAAATTATGCAGTGAAGAAAGAGTGGTAAGCTGAATTTAGAAAAAGTAACGCGTCATGAGCATTGTGATTGATACTATACTTCTCTGTCTTTTTTGATTTCCTAAAAATGGATAGCATTTTATCACCTAAGACCGAAAACCCCCGAAAAGTATAAACTACGTATTGAGCATATACTTGACATTTTCGGACTGGATGTAAGTTATTCCATAACTTATTAATGCACGATCGTGGACCACATCTAAATTGGATTTGAGGACCCACATCTCTTTTCCGGTCTTAGGTGATAAAATGCTATCCATTTTTCGGAAATCAAAAAAGATAGAGAAGTATAATATCAATCATATTGCTTATGACGCGTTACTTTTTCTAAATTCAGCTTACCACTCTTTCTTCAATGCATAATTTCAGCAAAGATTAGGAGGAGAATTTGCTAAAAAATTTGATAAAAATTAAAGTTAATGAAAATAAAATGAATACACGTACATGGGAATAAAAAATTAACAATTAATAGGAAGTGCACAATATCATAGCAATCATTTTTGTACTCATTCCTCCCCATGTTTCTACTTTTTACAAAAATAACTATGACGTAATTCTTGCATTGATTGAACTTATAACTGTTTACCATCATATGTCATCACTTCTCGACATTATTTACTACCTAACCATATCATTATGATACTGTAACTATTTTCCACGTGCTGCATCACTACCCCTCTCTTCATGTAACCGGTTCTTGCAGATAACATTCAACTAATATACAAGCAATATATTATTGTAAGTAAATTATTTTACACATTATATTGTGATTTGGCAAATGTATTTAGTGCTATGTTAAACAATACCATGTAAATCTTCCTCTCAGATCTTGGTAAATCTCATTCAGCGACAAGTTTTTCTTCTGTTACGCCTCACCAAATGATAAGGAGCCGTTGATTGGATCATCCATGTCTTGAGGTTCTTTCTCACATTGCATGTCATTTCTAACGTATAAATTTTATCCACCGAACAAACTAAGTAATTAACCACCCATATCACTACATACAGAAACGCAAGAATATTACCAGTTACCATTCCTAACCACTGATTCAAAAATCCCGCACACCGTATAATTGATGAACTACCGAAAAATAGAGTGCTGCAACGGTAGAAAGTTCGTCTGTCAACCATAATTTTCGGTGGTTGTGTTGCGTTCAGCGGGCGTAACATTCAATTGCTCGGGAGGGGAGGAAGAGGAGGCAGGGGTGTTGGGTCGGACGGTTCGTACTTTCAGGATGTTGATTTGAGACGATTTTTGAAAGTGGTACTGATGCGGTTTGTAACTCAGAAATGAAAAGCCAAGGAGTACGTATACATTTGAAAAAAGAATACATTTCTAGAAACAGAAATCAAAGGTTATTCTGCGACCCGTCTCGCTGTTCTGACACAATTGCTTACAGCGCAACTGTTGGAATAGCAGCTATATCGAAGTTCATTGCACAAAATTAAGTGGTCGACTAATTACATATATCAGTTTATTCAGGGCGATGTCAACGCCAGTTGTCAACCTTTCAGGGAAGGTCGCTCTTATCACAGGTAAGTTATCTTAAGTAAAATAGCCAAATTATAACGACACTTACTTTATAAGTATTATGTTTTTTAATCCTGGGTCGAAAGTCATTCCAACGGAATATAAATGAGTTTATTATTATGACTGAAAAGTACATAAAACAGGAAACGGAAGAGTAATGGATTTGAAAAGAGAGAGAGAGAGAAACTGAATTTTATCAATTGCTGAGTCTAAAGTTCGTGAAATTGTTTTTTTTGGATCGCGACTTTTTTAATCAAAATTCGTTTTCTGGGGTTCGGCACGCTGTAGATATGAAATTTTACGTAATAGAAGCATGATATTGCGTCGAAACATTGCACGTTGGAGACATGAAGTTCAGGTGTGGTTTATCGTATAATCTCATATTAGTCATTTGCAGGTGATATAGGTATAACATGTATTAAACGTGAAGTTCGGTGTGGTTTATCGTGTGATCTTATATTAGTTATTTGCAAGTGGCATAGGTATAACATGTATTAAACAGCATGTATTAATATTAGTTATTATCGACCTAATAATTGTTAATTTATTTATTAAATTATATAAAAAAGGCAATGCTTTAAATGCTTCTGAACAAATATTAATGTTATCAGGATTACTAAATAATGAGAAGTAGTGTTTGGAATATTTTCAAGTAATAAAAAGTGATTTTATAAATATCATCAAGTAACTATGGTTATGGCCAAGACTAGAAATTCGTAATTTGGGTCGAGAAGTATGAGTATGATAATTGGCAAAAATTTCTGCATGTGCTTAGGATGTAAAAGGCTGGCTAAAAGTAAATTCTACAAAATAGATTGAAATTTTTGTTTAGTAAAGTTACGAAATTAAATCAGCTTTTGGAAGCATGCGTCGTGAATAATTTTTATTTGAAATTTCACTGTAATATGTAATATTGATATGGTCTCATACCCTCGAAGATTTAAATTTGAGACTAGACGAGCTTGGAGTGGTATAAATATGTTAGCCAAAGTAGATTTAAGATTGTTACTTTAATTTTTGGTTGTAGGAGTTAAATATTTAATTATCTAACTGAAGGTAAAATATGCTAAGATTGACGTCGAGTAAACATGAGAAAACAGTTTAATTGAAATGTAGTCACTGAAAGCTAGGTGCAGAGTGTAATAGAAAGCAAGCAAAAGGAGCGGAAGAGCGATGTGTTCCTCATTTTTGTAAAATAATGGTTGGAAATATTCATAAAATATTCATAGAATTATATATGAGATCATATGATGAGGTGATATTCTTGAAATTATTGAGGATAGCATTGTCGAGAATCAAATAAAATCAAGATGAAATATGATGAAAATCGAATGAGAATTTGACTGAGGAGACAACGGTCACTGATGCGATTATTCTAACGATGACTGAAATTTCAAATAATTAGGAAATAGTGTTGACAAGGAGTAAGAATTGATGAATAGGGGAGACTCTTGCGTAATCATTGTGAATGTTTGAGCAGCATTGGAGTGGAGTAAGGGAAATAGTTAAGTCTGCGGAGATTGTTGCGAATTTGTAGACAATTATTGGCATTTTTTTGCGAGCTGAGTTCATATACACCCCGGAGGTACTGAAAATTGTCTTGAATAGGTTAAGCTATTTGGGATTTGGATTGTCTATCCTTTTGTCATACGAGATATTGCAATCAATCATCATTTCGTTTCATTTTGAGGCAATGATAACAGACATTCAAAAACGAGTTTGAAAGAAAATGTAGATAAGATTCGGACTGTTTCTTCAAAACTGTTTCTTAAGTAAAATGACAAAATGAAGTTAGTGTATCTCTTATAAATGAATCCGATAATTTCTGGTACACTGATCATCAAAATGTTATAAATATTCTTAGGTTTATTTTGATACGTGGACTGGAGAGAAAGGCAGCTGCATCGTACATTTATATTTATATTTTGAGTCTGAGGAGGGCTTTGTCAGGCATATCAAGCTGTAAACTGGGTAAAAAAGGGAAAGCGTGAAAGCTATAAGTAAAAGCTACGCAACGACGAATAATATAGCTGGTATTCGGAATTTGTTAACCAGAAGGTGTAGAGAATTAACAAGCAAAAAGTAATATTTCGGTTGTTGTCAATAATGTTTTAAGTTTGTCTGATCCAACCACGTCTTTACTTCCAAATATTTTTTAGGAATTCAGAACTTTGTATTTTATCAAATTTTGCATAAATTGATTTAGGAGCCACGTCTGGTATTGGCTATTCGACAGCACATCTTTTTCACCAACTTGGGGCAAAACTTGTTATAACTGGAAGAAATACTGAACGATTGAAGGCGCTCGAAGAACAGCTGCAAGATGGAAAGGTAATTTACTGTTAGCCTAGTGATAAGAAGTAATAGGCATCATAACAACTTATATAGTACGTGTTAGATGTATGGAATACATTGACAATTAAAAGAAATGAATGAGTTCAGTGTTTCACATAATTAATGAAATGGCCACCCAAGTATGAGTAAAAGCAATAGTAACTGAAGCAAAATGTTGTACGGGGAGTAAAGAATCCATAAAATTGAAAAAGAAACATGAGGAAGTAATGGTAAACAGTGATTCAATAATGTGGGACAGTGCTGTAATTTCAGCTTAGGTGTTCACAGGAATTATGTAGTAGTGACGTAAGTGCACTAAGTTGGAGCGTAGATAGCTTATATATCTTAAAAATTTTTTAAAAGCTGTAAGAAGCACTGTGTTGCCGTCCATCTCGCTGGAGAAGTTTCTTGTTTTTTTTCTTTTTCTTTCGCTGGAGAAGTTTCTTGTGATCTTAGACTTCCAAACCTTAGCTGATCAATGCGTGGTACTTTATTCTTGCTCAAACGTTCTGTTAGTATTATTCCAATGTTAACTTACCTAGTCCTTTATCCTTTTATCGTGATAGATTTCAAACTCATTTACATTGAATGAGTACAGATAAGCTAGCGGGAGTACAGTTTAAAATATTATAAAAATTATTTGCATAGTTTTAGGGTCAAGTTTTCGCCATCGCTGCAGATCTTACGAAAGAAGAAGAAATCCGGGGTCTCGCTAAGACGGCTGTCGACAGATTTCATACCCTGGATATTTTGGTAATGATCTCTAACTTTGATCATTGCATGGAAAAGAAAAATGTGAACAAATTTGATTGGATAACTCTAGTATCAGTTACCCAATCATTAAAAAATATGAAACTGTTGCAGATTAGACTAGTTTCATATGGTATTCTTAAGTTAAACAGATACATGTGCTGAACAAAGGCTGTACATGGGTTTGTGAAGTGAATCATGCTTATTACCGTTTTTTTCACCAACAAAAATTGTGAAGTTCTTTTATTTTTTCCTCATTTGATTAGAATTTTGAATTGAGGCTTGAGCTATCTGCTGCATTAAAAAGTGCGAAACAGGGATATTATTTCAGATCTGAATTAGAGTACATTGCGATATAAGTATAGAGACGAAAATTTTATTTGTTTCTTAAAATTTTGGAATTTGATATTTTCATGAGAAAAAATAATTTGGAGATTGAAATTTCGTAATTTTTGTATTTTTTCTGATTTCATCTTTTTTTCGAAACTTCCGTTACATTGCTGATATTCTGGCATATCTTTATTTTTATAAAAAGATAAATTTCGAGCACTGATTCCAGGTCAACAATGCCGGTATCATCGACAAGGGTACGATTGAAGACACGACGTTGGAGCAATATGATCGAGTAATGTCAACCAATTTGCGCTCAATGTTTTACTTGACGCAGCAATTCATTCCGCAACTGATTGAATCTAAAGGCTGTATTGTGAATGTATCCAGTGTTAACGGGATGAGATCGGTTCGTATATTTTGATAGCTCTTGTTATGTGCAGCATCATTTTCCAGCTAATTTCTCGGAAGAATTTCGGCGCATCTCACAGATTTAGAGTCGAATGGTTTATTGTCCAGGACCAAAACTCAAATTTTAAAAATATAATTGAAGTTTCTTTATGTCTCGTATTCTTCGTTAATTTCTACCTTCCTATTTCAGTTTCCGGGTGTGTTGGCATACAACATATCGAAAGCTGGCGTCGATCAGTTTACAAGGTGCATTGCGCTTGAACTAGCACCGAAAGGCGTACGTGTCAATTCAGTGAAGTAAGTGAATATTCCCATCTTACTGTTGTGTTTTGTTTATGCGAAATTCTGAAACGAATTTTTATGAGTTTTTTTTTGTTATTTTGAATTTAAATTATAAACTTAATTTTAGTCCTGGTGTCACGAAAACGAATCTTCACAGACGTAGTGGTATGGATGAAACAGCTTATGAAGCTTTTATCAAGCATTCCAGAAGTACCCATGCGCTTGGTCGCGTGGGTAACCCAAATGAAATAGCAAATGCGATTGCATTTCTGGCGAGCAGTGCATCGTCATTTATCACTGGAGCGTCAATTCCGGTTGATGGTGGTCGTCACGCTATGTGCCCACGTTAGAGATTCTTTGATTGACATCTAAATTTTTATCATCTGATAGCAATATCAACTTTCCAGTTTAGTCTACAATTCGTAAAATGATGGAATTATATTTTTAATATCAATGTAGACCTCAGGAATGCTTCGGATATTATTTGTTTTATTTTTTTTTGATAAGTTTGGAATTTACTTGCATAACAAATTTCTCAGCATAATATGCTTTTCCAATATCCACTTTTTTCCCGTCATTTTGAAGTTCTTCACCAATAATTAGTAAAGCTATGTAGAGTTGCTTGTAATCATCATCATCATATTGTACTATTTGGAAATGTTGCTTTGCATTGCTGGAGTAGGGTTTTGAAGCATTTGCTGACCGTTTACATGGGTCCGTAACTGCAGTAATTCGTTCTGGAAGATTGAAAACCTGTAGGTGAAATATTCATAAATTGCCCTACCACAGTTAATTTCTTTCTCAAATTGTTTTGTAATCATTATTCGGATTTTTAAATTTGTAAAACTATAACATTCAATTTTTCAAACTCATTAGGTTGCGTTGAAATCCTTCACTTTGAGTAAATAAAGACTCCAAAAATGTGACTTTGTTTCGCAGATAATGTAAACATTGCAAAGTTACAGGTGCATGTTACGGTCAGCAAACACAATGAAAATTTGCTGAAATTTAGCAGTCATTCGAAGAAATGATTCTTACATGTCACAAAATCCGTCCGAAAAGTTTCTTCAAATTTCTCAAACTTAAGGTTTTTGGAAGTGTTCAAAGCTTTAGAAAAGAAAATTTTATTGCAGTAAAACTAGGGTCGGTGGCACAATATGCAACGATTGAAAATGAAAGTGAAGGAGAATTCGCTGTGGGAAATTCATATGATGATCCAGAGGAAAATGAATATGTTGTTGCAAGTCGTTCAGAACCGGTAATGTTTCCAGCGAGGCGACAGCGTGAGGATTCGATCCAACAGAGCAATCGTCGATTGATTACGATCAAACGTTGCAGCGACGAGCGCACCGACCCATTGCCTGCAACTGTTACAAGAAGGTTAGACGGAATGATTCTCCTCTTCCAGGGCTTGTAACATATATTTTTTGATGCTTCGACAGTGCAAATATTCGATAATTTTAGCATTGCACAGAATATGAATATGAGTTAGTGGAATTTGACGATTCGAAATATTCTCACAAGCTGCTCTTTCTAGATATTAATTTGCTCTGGTTTGAGTAGATTTTTTGATGGTGTTCACACATAAAAACATTGAAAGATATATGGGGTTTGGAAGTATCTGTCGAAAAAAACTGAATAGCTGGGAATGAACTTTAAATATGATTGCATTTAGGCAAAATTTATGCTAACGATTTTCAGGATTATACCACCGAGACGTTATTCTCCAGATCCAACTGATTACAGCACGTTAAGCGTGCCATCTGTCGAGAAAAAGGCATGCTTCACTCCACATCACACTGACCAGTAAGTTCAAAGCGATAATGACTCATTGTTTGCGTACTTTTGAGTGATTGAAATTTTTTCTAATGATCTAATCTTAATGAGGATGATATTCATTAAATAATACCGGGAAAAAATGCTGTCAGACCCAGACTTCATAGTCAGTGCGATCGAGGAGACTATTTCAGTAGAAAATTTGGTCGAGATAATTTTGTTTTTGGTAATTAAAGTTCGTGGTTTTTTAGAAAGTTGATATATTGCTAAGTACTATCGTATCACTACGAAAACACTCACCACCGGTCGAACATTCCTAACGATTTGAAAGATGTATTTCAAGTTATTGATATTTGAAAAATTTTTTCGTAATTGGAAGAGCCATTTTCAGAGGTTCAATGCTGAAGAACATTACAAAAGAAATAATCAGTCATGAAGCTATCACCCAGCATATAATGTTATTTTTTTGCTTGTTGGAAAAATTTGGTCTGTTTGACTTTCCTTGATAAACAAAGAAAAGTATTTGATGAAAAACCGCATTTTTAAAGTTTGCATATATATTTTCTTTACCTTTTCCAGTGAACAAGACAATAATATCGCTGAAATGACCGATGGCCCCGTTTTCCGTGCAAAATTTATCAACACTATTGCCGATGTTCCACTTGCTGTATTAATGCGTAATGGACCGTAAGTGTTTTTAATTAATGATTGAATCACTTTTGCGACGAATTTTATAATTTAAAATTTTTATAAACTAAATAGCATTTCTCACATATTCTTTGCTAATTTTAAGGTATTTCAGTGTACTTTCAGTTGCTTGAATTTTGGATTCTTCAGGTTGGGTATGGGTGCTTGCGATAGACCGCCCGTAGTACGGCTTACGGGACGCTCAGCATCCTTCTCATTTATCGTGGATTTAACAACTTTTGACATTGCAGATCTCATTTATGATGGGCTAGGTATACTCCATACTTTTTTTCTACTTTTTTTCTACATTTTTTTTTTCCATATTTTTCATATACAAATTCGAATTAAATTCGTTTTATGACATTCCACTTGTATATGAATAATATATAGGCTTAGAAAAAAGTAAAAGAAACGCAGTTGATGTAGAATTTTTAGTTGTTAAGATTTCTTTTTTCACTTAGTTTCTCGAAGTTGGGTGAATCACCATCCAAAATCAAATGAATCAAAATTGAAGATGGTTGGAGCTCACGCGGATTGGTTTCTAAATTTTTCTTCAACAAGGACAAAGCAAAATGTGCTCAGGGAAAGCATGAATATACAATTCTGCGGAAAGTTTTGATTCACCCACATACTATACCTTCAAGTTCTGTCCGAAAAGTGATTTGGCATGTGATAAAAGGCAATGAATTTTGCAGGTAATGTCTATTTAATTTAGCATATATGCTTTTCGTTTATTTTTCGAAAGAAAATGCGCTGATTCCAATACAATATTTGTGATGATATTATTTTTGGTAATTTTGTCGGACGAAAGAATTTTAATTGTATTTGCATAAATTCTTACAAACATCTCTATAAAAGGCTGTGACGATAGCCGATATATCCAACTAGACAATTAGTGATTTGAATCGTTTAACCTGAGTCAGTATTAAAAAAGCATAAATGGAATTTTCGAAGTCGAGGAGGAAGGTGGATTCGGGCGTGTTTCAGTACTGTCCAGTCTTGTGTAAATGAAAAAGTTTATGGTGTATTTCGTCCTTTACTATTACGTTGAGAGCGACATAAGAAAATTGCATGTAGATTGGTCTCTTGAACTCCAGCAATATAACTTTTTCATCTGATTAAAGATACGCATTAATTTCCTACAATATTACCAATGATGCGGTGCTAGATAACCGAGCTTTCGTACTGCATCGCGATAAAATTGTCGAAACAGAAAGTACAGGCGGTGATTGCTCCAGAATACAAAGAGCTGACGATATATCTGTGCATACTGCTAACCAAAACGTCACTGTATGTATAATTTAGAATATTTTTAGACATTTTTTCCTGTATATCTCTTTTATTTTTTTTCTTAGCTAAAGATTTTTGTTTTACTTGCAGTTGTTTAGAGAAATATTGTATTGAATTTAAAGAATTTTTTTTTAGACTTCGGATGAACTGATGTGTGAGGGTGAAGAGTATGGCGATGACATTGAGTTTTACTTCGCGGGAGGAGCGGAAAGTCTCAAGCGACAAATGGAGGAAATTCCGGAATTAGATGCACAGTTCGTATTTCTTCTATTGGATTGTATAAATTATCAATTCTTATTTCTAGTTATCTCTTTTGGCTGCTTATGGAAGAAAACTTTCTAATTGAGATTCGGTGCTTTTTTTCTCCGATTTGTTGAATTCTGATTTTTTCTTTTTTATATGAAAATCATTTGAATTTCATAATACTGTATCGAGTATATATTACATATCTGTATTTAGTATGTATCTGGTGTATTAAACCTGATCACAGTTGATAGCAACTATTTGTTCATTTTCAGAGGACTCTGCATGATCACGGATGCACCGGTATTCATGCAGAAATTTGTTGGGACACTGGCAGATGCACCATTAGAATTACTGATACAAGAGGACGAGTAAGTGTTGAATTTATCTCTCTATTAGCTTTTGGAATGGCATTGAATTTCATATTTTGCTAATGAAATCACTTTTTTCCACTGACAACGGATTGGAATTCCACTTAATCAACATATAATTCACTCGAGCTACATTTTAATTTTATGTATGCAAATACGCTTTCAGGTTGGATGCATCTATACCGGTATGTACATATGTTCCTAAAATCAATCTTTATGGGGCAGCAGCTTGTCTCACTTTCTTAATTGATACGAAATGTTTTCCTGTATCAGATATCAGCGCGGATAACCTTGGTAATTTATTGCTTTCTAATGTATCAAACAATGAAAATTCACATTTAAGCTAAAAATTACCATTACGTTTGATAAAATACTACATAAAATTTTAAACTGTGAAGAATAGCTAGCAAACTATAACTGTGCTTTCCATTCAATAATAATGTGAAAGTTTTGGCATATTTTAGAAATTCCTCTTTTCCAGGTCAATGGAACGCTAAAGATGGACGTCGGATGAGTGTTCGTAAGTTCTACTACCAATCAAAAAGTAAACCAGATGGAGTAGAGCAAGAATATTGTGTAGTTCGACGACGTTATCTTCATCCTCACTGTATCCCAAATAATTCGATACGGAAAGTGATTTGGCTAATCAAAAAAGGTGATGAATATTGTCGGTGAGTATTGTTTTAAATTATATGTAAACTAATTCAGAATTTAAAAATGATCAGCAATATGAATTTCATAATTGGAATCACTTTAATTGAAATACCTTATAAAATCAACATTACCTGAACATTGAGCTGATTTTTTCGGGCTTTACATATATGAATTATGTTCATATATGAATTACATATATGAACTATGTATCATTAGTTAGTTTTCTACATTTTTCATATTTTCCGAAAAACAGCGAATATCGAGTTTTATTTGGTTTCAAAGTGCAACAGGAATTTTCATCTACACTTTTAGGTACTCATTGGTTTCATACTATATCGAAGCAGACGCTCACGTTATGCAAATACCTCATGGTAATTCACGTACTAATCAGAAAAGTTATATTCGAACATGTCCAAGTGAAGTAAAGAAGCGTCCATGCAACATAAAGCAGGAAGATGGAATTCTTACAGATACCCCGAACGCTTCGGGAACTATTGTGTTGCAAGAACCGGATTTTGGAGTGGGTAATGAAGTAAGTTGTTCAAAATGTTAGGCGACATTTTTCAAGCGTTTTTAATTTCTTATTTTTAAGTTTTGGAGAATTTAGAGGGTAATGATTGATAAAATGATTTTGATAACAGCTTCTGTTGAAATTATCCTTCACTGAATGCATACTATATGGTTAAGGTGGATGTGGAAGTGGATGATGTTTCGGAGAACTCAGAGGTGGACGTTGATGGTAACAGTCCGCAAGAAGCCTGCAGTTCTGTTGTTCAGGATGCTCTCATATCCGATAGGTATACTGTGCTGTTTTTTATTAATCTAGTTTCTTTACAGATTTTGATTAGCAGAAAATTGATAAGCTATTCAGAAAATATCACTATGTTTTTCAATATTTTTTGCACAAAAATTTGATTAATTGGGTTTTATGAGAGTATTATAATTGCAATCTAAAGATTGGAAAAACGTAAAAACGTGTAAATTCGTTTTGGGTACAATCCAGAATGGTATAATAACTATGCCTGAGAAAAGATAGCTGTTCTTTCTAATTTCTCTAAATTCATGTCGAAATTTTCTGCATTTTAAAATAATTCGTTTTAGCGAAATGGTCCGCAGAATAAGTTTGGTTACAAGAAGTATACCATTTAATTGTATATATATGAATGCCATAACCGAATTACCACTTGCTTTGCTTCGACGAGCAGAAATGTTAGTTTTCCATCCCTTTTTAACCATATTTTTCATTTTAAACATAAGAAGGTGTTAGTATCGATGTGCGGTGAAGTGCTTTGGTCTTCGCAAAATAAACAAGAAGAAATATGGAAAAAGATAGGGATATAAATAACTTAATACAGGTTGTTAGATTGTGGTATTTTATTGCAGAACACCCGATATTGCACCAGTAAACAATGCAGTGCCTCAGATTCGATTGATTAGTCAAGCTGTACAGATGTCATTCATTGTTGATACTTCACAGATTCCATACGTGGAGTGGAATTGGGATGGATTGGGTCCGTCTTTCTTAATTTTTATTATATGTGGTATTTCATTAATTTATGATGTAAGTGATTGAGCGAATGTCATTTATTCACTAGAAATAGTTTAATAAATGAAGTAAGGATCAATAGAAGTTCTTCAGATATTAAAGGAACAAATGAACAAACTGAAAAAAACAAACAAGTTAATTCGCTGAAAAGGCAAAAAGCAAGTTAATTCCGTGAAGAGGCAGGAAAATAAGCATTGACCTTAATTTCAGGTGCATGGAACACATCACGTGGTAACCGCGTAACTTTGAGTAAATATTGTTATGACACAAATGATAGCAGATGTGGCACTAAAGGATATGCCTACTGCGTTATCAAGAAGAAATATGTGCATCCGTATTCGGTACCACCCAGTGCTGTGCGTAAAGTTGTTTGGCTCATCAAAGAGGCTGATGGCACCTATAACAGGTAAGTATACTTGCAATTAACCTTCAACTTCCGTTACTTTTTGGATTTATTTTCTTTACATTTGCTTTATTTACTTAGGGGTAATTTCATTTATCTTTTTAATCTCTTTACTTGATCATCTCTTTTTTTCACCATTTCAAGTATATGTTTTAAAAAAATAAGTACGATTATCAAGTTAGAAAAAAATTTTTTTGAACGACACTTCATCACAAACTATCTCTTGCTACTCTATTGTATTTTACTGATTCACACTATCATAATTGTGGTAATGAGTGCTATACTTACAGTACCTGGATCTTTTCTTTCACTTCTACGAAGTTCAATTTTTTCTGATATTATAGGTTAAATGAAATGTCTTTGCAGATATATGCTGGTGACATATAAAATCGAACGTGATGCCGTTGTTACAATTAAGAGAATCCAACAGCAGGTAGCATCAGAACAGCGAATTCAACGAGCATCTGTTCTTGCTGATGAAACAATTTATGATCAGAAGTAGGATATTTCCTCTCATATTAAATTAATCTACACCATTTATGCTTCAACAATGGTTGCATTAAAACAGTAAGTAATAAATAACATCCGGGCGTTGTTTGCTGGAAAAAACTAGATTTCGAGATTAAATCTCGAATTTTACCAAAAATCCTAAATTGTCTCATACTTTTGTTAAGCGAAGTAAATCACGAAATTGCTCGAGTAACGAAAAGTCCCGTATTCCTGAAGCAGTTTATCAATAATGTTAATGATTTACCTTTGGATACATTGCTCGAGCCAGATCAGTAAGTTGTTTTTCTTTTTTGGATAGTTCACAAATGAATAATACGAGTAATATGTCATTTCATCTACTTTTTAACTCTCAATTAACAATTTATGAATTGCTGTTAGACTTGAACATCTATACTTTTTATTTAGAAGGATTAATTTTCTCATCAAAGATGCAAATGGCAGGGAATCGGAATTAAAAAATTGAAAATATGCGATGTTCAATTAGAATGGTTCTTTGGCCATGATATCTTTTATTTCCAGAAGTGATCTCCCGGTATGCGATGCAGTTCCACATATAGCAGTATTACGTGAACCGACCTGTTATCCACTGCAGATGACATTTCTGATTGATACGGAAAAAGTAGCAATAAGTGATCTCAGCGTTGACAATTTAGGTATGTTGACCGCTTTTTCGAGATTTTCTAAACCATTTTTTTCTATGTGGACGAAGATGGGTGATCTCCAAATATCGAGGTTTTTTCAAAGTTTCCATACATTTTAGGGCAATGGAATACAACACATGGCAGACGTATGACCCTTCGGAAGTTTTATTTTTCTCGTGACAGACAGCGTTGTCTTGAAGGGGGTCATTATTTTACAGTTATACGGAAAACTTATGTTCATCCAAACAGTATACCTGATGGAATGGTTCGAAAAATAATATGGCAAGCCTGTACAGCTGAAGGATATGCCAGGTTTTTGCTTTAATACCTGACCTTATTTTGCTATTTATTAATCACAGAATCATCACATTCTATTTCTTGACCTTTAAATGCCATTTTCTGAGAAATCGAATGTCACAAAAAAATCAAGTTTCGAATTGCAAAATATGAAGAGGGTTGAGATGGAAAATAATAAGAAAGTTTGAGCTACGGCTATTTTCATTGTTCTTTTGCTGCTCTTGAGAGAGTCTTGTTTGGAGTTAAATGGAGGAAATGGAATGGGAGAGGAAGGGGGAGGGTAAATGAAAACTATATTGGAATTAGAAATTGAAGCTTGGGGAGTAGGAAGTCATTGGGTCATAATTGCTTATTTTTTTCATAAATTTAAAGTAATTCAGGTACGCGTTAATTTCCTATGATATTGGTATTAACACTGTAGTTGAGGCCATACCACACGGTAATTCGAAACGCAATACCACTGTCTATCAACGCAAAGAGCCAAGCTTGATTGCTGAAATAAAACGCGAAAAGATGAAACGATTGTAAGTTTATAGTGCTTTCCCTACTTAATTTTGCTGTACAAATAATTTATATTTCATTTTCGTATGAAATGTTCAGTTTTTTTCCAAAAAAGTCTTGGATGAGAATCGTGCTGAAGGATCGTGAAATATAAGTTCCAGAAAATTGGAGACCCATTAAGGCAGCCTTTTATGTTAGTAATCTGATAATCTAACATTTAATTGTCGAACTGAACGGATTGATATAATAAATGGTTTTGCAAACACTTTTATTTGTAGATTGCGATTATTTAAATGAATATTTCCTGCATTTTGCTAATTGTTGTGATACATTATTTGTAAGAAAATAATTCAAAGAAGACTTTTCCAAATGAAGTATATTTTAGAAACGAAAGAAGTTCTCTAGAACCGGAAGATGCCTTTGTAACCGTGAAGCATGCTCGGTTGGGTTCTTATGTTGGTGCTCCATCAAGTGTCACCCTATATGAGGATAGTAATTATGAAGAAGTTGAGGATGCTTATCCGCTAACACATGAAGAATTGGTATTTATATTTGAATCCAAATTTGATCTTCTGATTTCTGTGGCAGATTTTTCATTTGAAATTTCTTTTTAAAAAATATTGGTAGAAATTTATCAACTTTAGATGAGTCGTATGGCACTTCCGAGTTTACGGCGCTTCACACGACCCTATCATAATGACGAACCGTTCAGTGTGGTTTTCCTACTGGACCAACACGCAGGCGTTATACAGTGTGCATCGTGTGGTGTTGATTTTTCACGGCATCCGCAACCTCCGGAAGATTTGGTTTTGGAACATGTAGAACGCTTCTGGAATCAACGGACCTGTACTTATTCCACTCAGCAAATGCAGAAGAAGTATGTTCTTCCGTTGTTGGTGGACTGAGTTTTCTTTTCATATTATGCATTCCATTTCATGAATGAGTAAATTTTTTTAAAGAGTTTCATTTAACAATGATTTATTTGGGTTGTAAAGGAAATAGAATGTAAGGCAAATTTTTTCCTGGAGAAATTGTTTCCCAATATATAGCAATATTATTAATTACGATTATAACTTGAGATTTGAGGTTAACTTCTTAGTCTTACGGAAGGAGTCCTAAATTGAAAGAAGTCCTAAATTGTCCTAACTTCCAGTTTGTTTTTCTTCCGCTTTTACTTTCTGTTATCTCACTTTGTTATGCTCTCCCAGTATCTTTGAAAAAATGTCAGCAACATATTTTGCTCTAGATCGAGATCGAATTTTAGTTCGTTTTATCTTTTTTTGTGAACGGTGTGAAAAACTTCACAATCCAATTCAAAATTTGATTTCTTTAAAAGGAAATATATTTCTGTTTTATTAGCCTTGTTCGGATCGAGCCGTTTTCTTGGGTACTCGAAATTATTAATTTCTGGAACCTGATCTTTAAGCTTTAAATCATCCTCTTATTTTATGATTAAAATGAAAACGTCAGTCTTTTATCTCATTTGCTGCAAAAATCTATTTTTCGAACGAAAGAAGAACCTAAATATTGGGATGTATTAAAGACTGCCAAATAACTGTTTGGCCAATTTTTTGTTCAATAAACAATTATCGTGTTTCAGATATATCCATGCAAGGTTGGAATGTGTTTTAGCGCGATATGAATATTTTACAACATTGGATTTCCTTGTCATATCTCATGATGTCCGAATGCGTCTAACTAATGTCCACCAACAGCATCTAAGTATTGAATTTGGTTGTTCCTTCGAATAAATGAGGTTCCTGTTATTGTTTTTATTTGAAGTAGATAGTAAAAACCAAGAAATAAAAAACTTGTACCATATGCAATATTTGGTGAATATTATAAGCTAATAATTTCCATCTTTTTGAAATCCTAGGTAGAGATGAAATTCGGCAAAAAAGTTCAATTTTTGAGCTTATATTTGAGGTCATTCATCTCCTTTTCAAAATTCTTCATATAATTCATGCCGGTGACAATTTTATCACCGCATATAGTTTTGAGTTTGTACCCTTTTGTTTCACTTCGAAAGAAAGCTGAACCTTTTTGCTTCCAGTGAATCTCACTTCCTTATTAGTAGCTTGTTTGGGTATTATCAACAATTATTTACATTTAATTGTCTATCAAGAAAAGGAAAATTGTTTGCAAAGTTTGCCAAGTGACATAAATTTGCAATTGAAGAATGAAGAATAAATTTAGTTTCTTTCCATAAATCATATATTTTTTTATGTATGGAGGAAAGCAGCTGTCATTGCCACAATTAATTTTTTCCTTCTGGGAACGCTTTTTGAGACAAATGCCAAAACTTTTATTTTTGCATTTTATAGGTTGCCTTTTTCCTTTATTTTTAATTTGTAATATCAAATGCATTGACCTGATACTTAGGTTCAGATGTAGCATTAGGAAGCTGTATGTTTTTTTATGTTTCACTTTTTAAAATATATTGATCGATAATTCAAAACAATATTGGACAATCAAGAAATAAATTTAGTTTCTTTCTGTAAGTAATGTTTCCCATGATATGGAGAAAGGCAACTGTAATTGCCGTAATTAAGATGAAATTTTGTTTCATTTTTTTCTATGCTGAATATGTTTATAAACAAGAAATTGCATATTTTTAATGATAATAAAAGACTTAATAAAAGACTGTTTTTCAGTTCTTCTATAGTTGCAGATAAATTCAATCATTTTTGATCAATTTCATATTTCGAATACTTTTAGGGCAATAATAATATCACGCATTTGTCAAAATAGCGGCTTTTTTATCGTTGTTAATCATGAGTTTATCGCATAGGTTCCACTCAGTCTTATGTTTTTTATTCAAGTGGCTGTTTCTTAAAATCGAACTGATGCAGGTCAATTGCGGGAATTTTTTTATACCTTTTAGAACTTATGCCACATAAATCTTTCTATTTCATTGGGTTACTTCATTCGTATTCATCTTGCACTAATGATTTTTCAAAGCTTTTTGGCATATCTTGATGACTGATGACCAGAAAGACAAAGCTTCTGGCGAAAAGGTTACAAATGTGACAGAAGGTGAAGTTGGACCTGTTGGAATGGTTCGGCCTGAAATGGTAGATATGGCGCGACGTTTCATGATGATACCAAAAATTCAACAAACACCGCTGATACAACAGAAACAATTCTTGCTTCAAAAAGGTTTACGAGAAGATGAAATTAACGAGGCAATGAAAGGATTACCATTACTGCAAAATATGTGGGTTGGTAGTTTTGAAAATTAAGTTTTATTCTTCGAATTTATTTTAAGATAGAAGGATTTCTTGTTTTGTGCTAGGAACCTCTGATTTGGTACGATGGTAAAAGTGCAACGGTAACTGTCTACCATTGCAAGATTTATTTATTAGTAAGAAAATGAAAAAGTCTTAGTTATTATTAATTAGATCATTGTTTAAAGTTCTGTTATTCTTTTCCTTTTTCTTTCTCGCGCAGTATTTCTTTTGGTCAGCAATATGCCGCCATCGTAATTGAAACAAAATAGATATCTATCAATATTACATCATTATGTGTTGGTAGTATTACTGCTGTTATCGATGAATAGTCTGTTATATGCTCTTCGCATTATTAAAGAATTTTTCATACATTCAGGTTTTCAATGTTTTTCTGCTCAACTAAAATATTCGTACACCAATTTTATTCGTATAATCAATTATTATAGCATATCAATAATACAGCCATGGAGCATGAAGCCACACTTGGTTCATCGTATGATTTTTCAACTAAGTCATGGGGAATTAATACTTGGTTGCGGATAACAAAATATGCAATGATTATTACGGGTTTTTCATATGTCAGTTGGAATTTTTTACATTCATACGTTTTGCCACGTTTCTTCAATATTCCGGAACCAGTTGAAAAAAGGATTGATGCAATTGAAAGAAAGGTTGGTTTCTAAATTTCTTTTTTGTCTTCAATAAAAGTAGATCAGAAAATTTCAATATTTAGAATTAAAATTTCAGCATAACTATATCAGAGAACATCATTGAATCGTAGACTAACATTACATGATAAGTTAATAATGGCGCTTGTTGCAAATTAACTTAACTTTGCTCCCAGATAAACTCAGCCCAGAATAGTCCAGTTAAACAATGATGGAGAACAACGAAATACTTTAACAGTTTGTTTCTATAGCATATTAGCAAAAAAGGAGTGTATCATTTGAAGAACATTTCGACAGTCGGCGTCACAAATATTTTTGAAATGCTTTCAGAAAAGTTGTGCTTGGTGTAGTATCATTATAAACTTGAGCGGTAAACGCATAAGTAAATCTTTTCCTTTTCGCATAAACAGCCATAGTCCATTTAGGAATGTTTGTGTCTAGGCAGTAGTAATTTGGTTAATCACTTACAGATTTCCGCCGTATCTTCAAAGAGTATTAAGATCCTTTGAGGAGGAAATTAAAGTAGTTAGATAGCAAAATATATATATAGTAATTCAACAGTAACAGGTGTGTTTATGTTCGTTTGTCATTTTTCCCATGTTGGTTTTGTTTTTGAAATATTTTATTTCTCATAGGTCAGTGAAATGCAAGGAATGATGGGGGATGTAACGACCGAGTTGCTTCTAAAATTACAAACGGTCATTGACAAACAAAGTATCACAGATCGTTTTACATTTCAAAGCGGTACTGGTTGTAAGCTATTGTTCAATAATACTCTGGACATATTCTGTCTGGATATTAGTATTTTATTGATCTTTTTAGATTAATGTTGTATAGTTTAATGTGTTTCACTTTTTAAATTTGAAAATTTTCAACATTTAAATTCTCATCTTGTTTGGCATTTCTTTACTACAAATTTGTATTTTCCACTCTTTTTTATCACAATACTCAGGGATGCTCTGTTGCTTTTTGCAGCATCAACGCTTGATGACTTAAAGAAGAGTGTCGAGACAATAAGTGCAATGCTTGCGAGCAAGGAGCAGCTGTTACCAATTCGAACACTAGCTAGAAAACGTAGCGCAATAAATTCTCGTTTATTTCTACGAGCTGAGGATCGAAGCGAGTAAGTATCCTTTATGATCGATAGGAAGCATGAAAATTTTGATCAAATTTTGCGAACTGTCAAGTATTAAGTCGAAATTATTCAACTAAGTTTTGCTGTTGTTTGTATTTGTTCTCCTTGTCTGTAATTTTAGCTTGCTTGTATAAAATGCTAGCTTAAATAAGAAATTTAATTGTTTTCGGCATTTTTTCAAATTTGATTTCTTCAGATCTAATCCTAATAACGAACACTCAGAAGAGACATTAATATCAGCACTGCCAGAAGAACATAATGGTATGCAAGCAGAGAGCAGTACTTCTCGCTGTGGTTCGTAGATGAAATGTTCACTTTATAAATCGTCATCATTAGCAATTGTTTTTCACTTGTGAAAATTCTTTGGATATCTGCAATGACCTTCGAAACCATTTTCAACTTTTCGGATAGAGGAAATTTCCATTTGCGATTTTATTCTATCTAGAAATCTTTTGATTTCAAAGCGAGATTGAGTGATTAATTAGGATTTTTTAATTTTGAATGAAATTTTTTCCAATTTCTGCGTTACGAGGTACAAGGTGCTTGGATCAGAGACTTTATGGTGTTAATTGTTTGATGTTAATTGTTTTATTTGCTGGTGTTAATTGTTTTCAAAGTAGTTTTAGGCAAAATTTAGAAATTTTGATAAGCTTGTGAATTTGAAGTTTCTCTTACTTTTGAAGGCAGTTTCTCTATTAATATGGGATCTGCAAAAAGCGATTTTAAACAGAAATCGAACTCATTACTCTAAACTAATAATCTGTACGAGAGAGACGAGAGAGTGAGGAAAAAGTTTTCATTTTCAATCAGGACACGGCAAGACTTCATGATCTGCATTGATCTTTTCATTATATAAACATTTATTGTTTGAAAAATTTCAACAAATTTTTAGTATATTTATCAAGATAATAAATCAAACTCTTTCATTTAGTGCTATTTCATTTGCTCTGTCATCCATTTTCCATGTAAATGTCATTATTGCCATATCGCTTATACGTGTAGTCTTCTTTTTTGGAAAATGCAGTGATATTTTGGACAATTCAGATAATTGGTAATAGAAAATAGACCTGTATTTAGTTTTGTTTATCATTATGACGCGATCATAAGTCGGGAGCTCATAATATAAACCATCAGAGCTCTGTTTTTAATCCATCTATTCACTGAACCATGGAAGGATTGATAGTTTGAAAGCAAAATGTGATTCTAAGAGATGGAGACAGATTGAATCACACAGGGGCATCTTTTAAAACTAGCATTTGGAGCTGGAAATAAATGACTTTGAAGGAAAACAAAAGAGTTGGTCGAATAACGGTCCTTCACATGTGTCAAAAATTCGTTTGTTTTTGTAAATTTTTTATTGTTTCATTGATGCAATTCCGTAAGACAAAAATCGATATGAATTCCGAGAAACTTATCTTGGAAAAATTGCCAGATACATTTGTTATTATTTTCAATGGTTAGAAAATGTACGTGTTTGATTTTAATTATTAGAAATTTGACAATTTGAATATTAGGATTCTATAAACTTCATTTTTTTAAAGCTGGATATATTATGAAACGATGAAAGAATTCCAATATCTTAACATAGCTTTCTCAATTAATCTTTAAATATAATCGAAAGGAATAAGTGCTTTATTTTTCTTAATTAATTGAATAATAAATCATTTTGTCTCAGCTGTTTAGTTATTTTCGGAATTTGTTTATTGAATTTATCCTTTTATTACTACTGCTGCATTATATTCATATATTCTGATGTATACTCAGTCCCTCAATAACTTTCATCATTTGTTATAACATACATTTCTTTTTAAAGTTTCAATTTTTTTCTCAGCATTTTGATCTTATACGGAATTTTATTCTTATTTAAATTAAAAGGAAAAGAATATGAAATGCTTTCAAATAATGCTGTCATTAAATTTTTTCAGTTTTTATTTTTATTTAAAAAAATGGAATATTTCTGTTCGTTTTTTCCACAACCATATCAAATTTCATCTGTTTTGCCGACACATTTTACTATAATTAATGAATAATTAGTGTAATTAATGTATTAATAATGATAATGTATTAATTTTTGTAGTAATTAATGTATTAATCGTTATTTGAGGTTATCATCTCTTAATGTTTCTTAGCTCGTTTGCTAGTTTATTACTCGATGATAAGTAATTCAATAAGTAATACAACTTATTGCAGATTCAATGATAACATTTTTTATGCAACGAATTTTCAATATATTTTCTTCTTCACCTTTCTTCCTGTTCTTCATTTAATAACGATTGAGAGATTTAAAATCTGCAAAATAATTTATAAAATAATTGAATCTTCTGCTATCACTGCTATTCACTATTCACGGCATATCAATCGCATAAATTTATTTTTTTTCGTTGAGATGGCATGGCTTAAAAAATAATCATTTGATTTGACAGAAATACTTGCTGATAGTGATGATTGTGATGATAACAATTATAATGATGGTGATGATAACGATCCATAACGATCCATATTCCATAATTATATGATGGTGGGAAGTTTAAAGCAATTAAGGTAATGGTAACATCTATTAAATACTTGTTTTAAGCTGAAATGATTAATTGCCTGAAATCTACAAGTCCGATATTCAACTTTCATTAAATTTGAGTATTTTAAGCTGATAACTTTTTTCTCCACTTTAAGATTAAAGTTAATTTGGAAACAAAAATTTCTTCAAGAATTTCAAATCTATATCAGAACTTTCCAATAACTTTATAAAAAATTTTAATTCTTATTACTACCACTGCTACTGCTACCCATTTCATTATACATTTTCTTTTTCTTTAATTAAATTCCTCTCTTCAAGTTATAATGAAAAAAATTAATCAAATTTCACGAATATTATTGCACAGTGATAAAAGGAAAGAAATCAAAATATGAGAGTACTTATTTCGATACTATTAAAAATTTATTGCTAAAGACAATATTTTGGTGGATTTTAAATTCTGAAAAGTTAATTGATCGAATAATTTAAACGCAAATTATGCATGCAAAGAAAATGAAACAAAACAAATGTATCGTTTAATTAGTGAAAGTAATAATTGCTGCAAGTACTTCTTATAGAAAAGTGCATGAATCGATTGCTTCTTTTTTCATGCATTTATCATCTTATGAATGAATCTAATCATTTTTCAAAATTTAATAATTAGTAATTATTGAAGTTTAATAAATAGTAATTATTGAATTTTAATAAATAGTAATTATTGAAGTTTCATATTCCAGATTTTCAATTACATGACTTATTATTTCAATTTTTGAAGAATATATTTTATTTCTTGTTTCTTAAAAAAAAGACACATCATTTAATTAATTTTTTTGCTTGTTTAATTTTAATTTTACATGAATTATTACCAGAAAAAAGTCTTTCATGTAAAATTATCTGAAATTAGCAAAATTTTGATGAGCCGCTTTTTTTACTTTAATTTAAATAAATAAAACATAAATCATATGACTATATTAAATTATTATCTCATTCAATGTTTTACTTAATGCTTATTTTAGACATAAGAAATATGATAAGGCAAGGATTAAATTTGAATAATTTCTTCTATTACTTCAAAAAGATCATAAAGAAATGAAATAATTCTTAAAGTAGCATAAAATTTTACTATCAAAAAGATACAATGCAATAGTGCATTTTTGCAAATGATATGTAATCAGAAGATAACAAAAAACAATGATAGGTTATCATTAGAAGTTGATAATGATCTCAGTAATCAGTTGAACACAATCAAATCAATAGTGCCAATTCTAATTAATTTTAATTATTCTATATTCGAATCAAATTGAATTGCCTAAATGATAATAAGATGTATCCTTAATGAGATCTAACTATTTCATTTAAAAAAATCAATCGTTTTATCGTTGCTTAAAAAGATTGTTTCATCTTATTCTGTGCAATAAAAGGGAGTTATTTCTGAATAGGAACATAACGTGTGAATCAGAATATAACGTGTGAAATGAAAAAATAACATCTAACGAAAAGTAATCTATTGGAAATAATCGGCGATTACAGCCATCAAAAAAGACTCTCATATTTCTTTACCATAATGGAAAGAAACTTCAAAATACTTTCCAAAATTGAAACTTTTTCAAACAAAAAAATTACTGAATTTTTTCTTTCAGATTAATTATGCAAAACATTTTAATTTTGCTCATAACTTCTGGTTGTTTTGCTGAAGGATTGATGAATTCAATTGCTTTTACGGGTGAATGGAATGAAACAGAAACGGCGAATCTTACCGATTTTTCAATCGGAAAAACTTCAATGCAACAGGAATTACCGGAACTACTTTTCGTCTATATTGTTAGTATTTCTTTTTTCTTTGATTTTTCCCGTAATCTTTATTGCATATATTTTGTTATCATCATCTAAACAATTGATATACATCCAAATATTATAAGCAAAAATCAATAACTTGTATCTTTAATTATTATAGATATGGAGACATGGTGATCGAGGTCCGTTAGCAATATATCCGAATGATCCGCATAAGGAATCAGTATGGCCTAATGGAATAGGTGAACTTACTGAGGTTAATTTAATGAATGTCTTTTTTTTTTTGGTAGAAAATGACAAAACATATATGATTTCTTCAGCATAATTTTCAGCAAATCGAAACGTTCGGAAAATTTTCAGGATATTTTTGGATAAGATGGATAATTTTTTTCAAGGTTTCTTCTTGCAGATTGGTATGCAACAGTTATTTAAAGTTGGAACACGTCTCTATCAACAATACATCAATTGTACGCCTCCATTCCTATCACGAAATTATCATAATAGAGAGGTACAAATTTAACAGTTAGCTTTTTGTCGGAAAAAAAAGGAGAAAATTAAAAATTTATATCTTATCCCTTTATCATACGTTTATTTAAAGGGAGAAAAATTAATTTACATATTACATCATCATTAAATTTAAATATGTGTTATATCAATGGAAAGGAAAAAAATCAATAATTTATATTTGATATCCGTATGAAATTTCTGTACAGCATTTGATATCCGTATGAAATTTCTATCCGTTATATTACAGCATCAGAAATTGTTAATTTTCACATTTATTAAATGGAGAAAAATCTGTTGAATAATGGAAAGTCAGTGATTTTCATATCATACTCTAATCACAAAAAGTTTAATTTACAAAATTTATTCCAGATATATATTCGAAGCACGGATGTGAATAGAACTATTACAAGTGCGATGGCAGTTTTAGCTGGTATGTTTCCCAATGGAATTGCCGGAAAAGATTATCCTAGAGAAAGTGATAAAATAAATTGGCCTCACGGCTGGGTACCAATTCCCGTTCATACGGTGGAACTCAAATATGATCATGTATGTGTTTCGATATTTTTCATAATAGAAGAGAGTTCTTTTGAGGAATATTTTACCGCGCAGCATGCTGCATGCTGCATGCTTGACTAGTTTAACATGTTAAACTATTCGGATAGCTTGCTATTTACTTATTAATTAAGCTAACATATACAATATTTTCTTTTAAATAATTAAATTACGAATAGTAACTTAATATTGAGGCCTATTTTGTTAGACAAACAAGAATTTGAAATAAATAAACTTCATTGATTAATTCAACAATATATGAAAAACTGTTTATGATATTTTATGGCAGATAGCTAATCCATTTCATCACTGCACACGAGCACAAATTTTGGAAAACGAGGGATATCAAAGCAATGATTTTCGTAACATAATAGTAAAATACCAGGTAAATTATATTCCGAGATTGAAAAGACAGGGACAAAAGAAGATTTAGGAGAGAAAAGGAAGAATGCACCAAGAAACATTGGTGTCATTTGATTTATTTAGATTTAATCTTAACTTCGGTTTAATTTCTGAATAAATTTTATGTTAGTGGAATTCTTTTTCCTTTTTTGAAATTATCAACATTTTAATCTGTCCATTTCTCCTCTTTAAATTAATTTCTAAGGTTAAACTTCTTAGATTACAATTCTTGCACACTTAATTTTTCACTTATTTGTTTGCTTATTTAAACTGAAAAAATTAAGGATTTATTAGCATACTTATCGAATGTGACAGGCTATCAAAAGTTTCAATTAGACGAACGTCTCAATTTCATTTTGGATATCTTAACAGTTGAAGTAAGTATCAAGTTGACAATTAATTAATTAATTCTTTGTAATTTTCTGTTATAATCCTTTTATACAATAATATTGAAATTTGATAGGAAGAATTTTACTCCATCATTCTTTGATATTAATATCATCGTTAGACAATAGATGATCATTTTACTTGATAGCATTATTATATTGCATTTGCTAAGATCGAAATGATATAAATCTAATGTACTCTTCCCTCCCATTTTATCATTTGCAGCGTTTTCATAATTTGAAACTGCCGGAATGGTTTACAACAAATATTGAAAAAGAAATGCAAATTTTGCTCAGAGAAATGCGAAAATACCAGTAAATTGAAAATTCAATCATTTGTTATTTCTACAAAATTCAATACTTCTTCATTTCATAGTGATTTCACAGTGTTACCAGAATTATTTGCTGTATCATTGAAGTACTAATTTCAGTAGAGTCACATTCTTGATTAAGGAATTTGATTTCTTTTATGCCATTTTTCAAATTTTTGTTTAAATTTTATAACATTATATTGTTTTTTTCAAATTTCATAATAGTCTACTTAGCCTTAAGTTTCATAGTTAAAAGTTTTGTTTAGCTTGTTGAAATTTGAAATCTAAAATTAATTGAAGATTTGGAAATGCAAAATATTTCGGATCAAATAGTAGACTAATTCGATTACGTGGTGGTGCCATATTGAATGGTATTGTTGATAAGTTACGACGGAAATGGGAATGCCTGAATAGTGACAGAACCAAATGTGCTTGGTACAAACATATCAAATTCTATGGATTATCTGCTGTATATTTGAAATTTTATCATTAATTTGTATCTTAAAATTTCATCCAAATTTAAAATATGGATTTGAATTTTCAATCCGATCATGTTAACTTTTTAAATTTTGACAATTTAAATTCATTCCTTGCTGAAATTTTAGCAATGAAATGACGAATTACAGCACGATGTAACAATTTCCGCATTATTAGTTGCATTGGGACCAAATTTTGAAAATATGGATATCTATAATCCACAATATGGTGCTACCGTATCTTTCGAGCTTTATCAATTCAATAATCAACCTTACATTAAAGTTTGTTATTTGAATTATCTAATTGAGGAACTGTTGTAAAACTGCTAATTAAGATTTATAAATAAAAAATAATACTGGGCGAAGATTAAGATTTTCAAATTTTTAACAGCAATTTTTCAAAGCAAATGATGCTGCGGTAATTCCATCGGTCATAACTTTCTGTGAGTAAAAAATCATTGGGATATCATCCGGTCGACCAATTTTGAGGCAAAATTCTTTAGTTTCATAAAATTATCCTCAGAAGCATAATCATTTATATGGAATGAACATAAGTTGATATTTATTTTAAATTTTTGATGAAAGAATTATACAATCATTAGTATATCATACCTTTCTTAGCTGTCTTTTTTCCAGATGGTAGCACTATGGCCAAGTTAAGATTACTTTATAATTCATAGTAAAAGTTAGGATCATACATAAACAATCTTAAATGGTATTTGTTTTCTTACCTACATGTCTTCTTCCTGTTCAGTAAAAACTGTAAGGCCCATTTTGTGACGAAATTTTTAGCAGATGTGAAGCACAAAAAAATCTAACATCATCTATTTTCTTTCCCTAATATTTTGATTAATTATATTTTCAGTTTTTGTATTCAAACATCTATTCGGATGAACCAAAATCAATGACCCATTTAATACGTGAATGTCCACTAACATCTGACATCTGTCCATTAGAAAAGTTTATTGTCGGACAAAAGGATTATTTGCCAACGGATATTGAAAAAGAATGTCATCAGGACATACAACAAATACATCGTAGAAGCGAAGGTTCCGTTTTGAAATGATTTCATTACTTGTTTATTGTATCGAAAGAAAAGAAAATGAACATTAGTTCCGCAATAATCTTTTTCATATGACTGATGAATAATATTCATTTCTAAACTATGAATTATCACAAAAATTATTTTGAAAAAATAAGAAAATTTTTGAAAAGACTGAAACATATCACAATGTCATCGTTACAAAATTATGGCAAGAATGTCTCGCAAATTTTGAAAGACAACAAAATAACTTTTAAGGGCAATGTAACTGATTAATTTTTTCTCACAACCTTCAACAGTGTTGTAATTATGATATTTAAATATTCCTCATAAATAAAAGGTATGAAATAAGATGTTTGATGAACAAAGTAAGAATGATATTTCATGAAACTACTATAACACAATGATTATAAGTAAAACTTTTCCTGTTTTATAGATTTAAAAAGTTTATAAAATTAGTTTTCCTATTGGAATAATCAAATATTGTATCTCGCAAATCATTTCTTTTTTTCTTTCTAGAAATTTTTGCATTTTTGTTCTTTCTTTCTTTTTACCTAATAATTATTGTTAAATGAAATGTAAAAATTAAAACTGCCTATTTTATAAGAACAAATACGGTTATTGTTAAAAGTTTCAATTATTTAACTCTTTCAACAATTTCTTCAAGTGAGTAAAAATATTTGAAATGGCTAGACTTTCGTTGAAATTAGCTCCGTATAATACACTTATGAATTAAAATATTAATTAATTAAGGTATACAATTTATTGTAGTTAATTATTACTTAGTAAAATAAAAAAAGAATAAAATGAATTCGTTTAAAACATAGAATGAATCATCATTCATTTCAAGATTAAATTACCAAAAATATCTTTTAATAGCTTCATTCGTCCATTTTTAAATTCGTCACGCATTTCGATAACATGCGCAATTCGTAAATGTTGTTCTGGAATATCTAATGTTGCGGGTTTCCATGCACATGGAAGTGCTTGATCCATTTTATCACAGATATTTGGATTGCTGAAATACGAATAATCACTTACCCAAATTTACAAATGGGAAACCTTGGAGAATTCAAGCTTAATTTCAAACAAATGATCAAATCAAATAATCTATGAATGCATTTCATATTCTCATAATAGACAAAACAAGTCTCTGCTGCCCTCATTAAACTTTATGGAAGATTTAAATTTAAAATAAATCAGAACATTAATTTCACATTAATGGCTTTTATTTATTTCAAAATGATTGTCACCGTTTGTAATGCGAAAACCAACTTTTTGCAATATTCGGAACTAATTGATATATTCCAATTTGAACTAATTGAAATCCCAATTTAATATTTTCGAAGTATGTTATTTCTTTTAACTGTCATATCGAGATGACAGAAAAATTGCACAAAAATTAGATGTAAAGTGCATATCTTATAAATTTTATGTTTTTGAAATTGCTTTAACAGTAAAGTAATAAATTCAAATTTTCAGCAAAATAAAACTTCAGCCTCATCCAAAATCAGTAGCAAAATACTAAAGTGCTAATAAGTTTTAATTTTGATTTCATCTCATTAATAACAAAGAAAAAAGGACTAATTAATAGGAACAAATTGCATTTGAAAAACAAAAGTTTTCCATGTATTATAATTGAAAATATAATTAAAGTTCTAATATAAAATGAAAGAAAAAAGAAACAATGAAATTTACTAACCGATATTTGATAAAATTAGCTACAGATTGTGTCAGGAATCGCGTAATTTGCCTATCGATTGTTGTTTTGAAAAATGGTGATAAGAAAACATTTGCATCCATGAGATAAATCAAATCAACTCCATGCGTTGCTGCTAGAATTTGATTATATTAATTTAATTATATTTGAAACAAAGATGAAAAAATTTAAGAAATATGAGTACTATCTGTAATTAATATCACAGCATACTTTAAAAAAAAACTATCAGTAGTTTAAATATTGGATATATATGCCATTATCGATAATCTAACTAAGGTAAACTGAAACCAGAAAAGATGCATAATAATAATATAAACTTCTTTTGTTAACTATTTCAAATGGATCACAGGAGAGATATTGGTTATCATCTGTAAAGATAATTTCTAATCGTTAAACCAATTTACCGTATTATAGCAAATATTTAAAATCATTTTTACTTATGAAATTCAAAAACAGGAACGAACTTTTGTATGGAAGATAAAGATTGAATAAGCCGTAGCAAGCCGGATTACAATATTCTAACGAATACATATAAACGGTTTCACCTCGTTCAAGCAATTTATTCACATATAATACTGTCCCATAATTACTGGTTAAATCGCCAAGCATCTATAACTAATTCATTTCAGATTTAATTTCATTCAATTTTTGTAGTAAGTACGGGGAAAGTAAGCTGAAGAGGATGAAAATGATTAAATTAAAAGAATAATTGCTTTTAAGGTTATGATTGACATTCCTATTTTCAGAGCAGTTATAGATAATATAGTAAATATGGGGAAATTCCAGTGATGTAAATCAATCAATATTTCGTAAAATAAATGATAAAAAAGTAAATAAGATTAAAATTGACATAAAAATTATAAGATTTACTATATGATGCAAGACAAAATGTTATTATTGAAATTCCAGATTGGCTTAGTATCCACATTTTATAATTAATGATAAATTATTGATTCAAATATTAACTTAAAAACTCTAATTTAGTCCCAGAAGAATTTACCTCAAATCCCACATCGATATCCGATCATTTTGACCTTTAAATTATCAAATATTTTACTCAAATTTTCAGATTTGTTTCTCTATTTCGATACTGTTTAATTGATCAAATTTCTTTATATGAAATTGTCACAAGCATATCTATCATTTGATGATTTAAAAATTAGAAAGAAAAAAAGAGCTTTCACGTCACATCAATAAAGGCTCGTTGAATATTCCGACGACTATTAATATTGCTATCGGTACGATTTAAATAAATTTGATGGACCACTTCTTCTGTATCAATTCCACTTCCTTCAGTACTATTCGCCAATACCTCAATTGCCATTTTAATATCTTTCATATCGCATGCCATTCGACCAACTGCTGCTGAAATTTTACTTGTAGAATTTTCTCTTTTCGACAAAAGAAAGAAAAAAGTCGTTTCAGTAAAAAAAGAATATGCCACGCATGAAGAAAGATATTTGTCAAATGATTCAACAATGACTATAATTTAAATTTACATTTCTATTATTGATTTACACTATTAGCAATAAAATATGTAACAATTAAATAATTTATTTCATTTAGTATCATTATCGAAAATCTTACCAAAAATTTGGCCTTCATCTTCGGTGAGACCAACAAGTGATGGTTTTGTAGGTGATTGCTTTCGTAGTTCCATAATAGAACAGGGTAATAGATCACCATCTATGATTGGTGTTAATGGTAAACGACCAGTGGCAAACAATTCTTTATTACCAATTAATTTACAAGCAAATTTTGAGGCTGGCAGTTTACGGAGAAATTTTATCATTTCTGCATTATCATTACCTGAAATAATCAACCCCAAAATGGCGTACAGTAAAGATAAAATGCAATTTTACATTGTTAGAAAATATCATCATATAAAGTTAATAAGTAATAAACTAAATAATAAAATTTTTACCTTGCCAGCCCAATTTTCTAGCTCGTTGATAACAATAGTCGCTAACTTTGCTAACATCTAATACTGCCCAAGGACATTCAGCATTACCGCCTAGTAATACGATTTGTTTGAAGAGATCTACAAAAGTTCATTTATGTAAAAATTAAATGTAATGAAATGAATATAGATAGTTTTTAAAATATCACAATGAAAGAAATCACTTTCTTACCATATATTCATAAATGAATACGATTGAAAAGTTGATTTATTGATTGATTTTCAAAGATTCAATCGATACAACGACCTATCATCATTATATATATTCTCGTTGTAATTTTATCGAAATCTTAACTTTTGAAACTGATTCAATTACTTGCTAAGTAATAAAATACAGTTTTCTTCATTGAACAAACCTCGACTATGAGGTGACAAAGCTAATAGATCAGCAGATGCAGCACCAGCACTTTGGCCAACAATAGTAATCCGATCAGGATCACCACCAAAATATTTGATATTCTCTTTTACCCATTTTAAAGCCATAAGCTGCATAAATGTTTCAAGTAATAATTCTACGCATGTCTAATTTTCGGTTGAGTTTGTCAAAAAATCATAATTTTAATTTATATGAACAATATATAGAAAAAGAGATACCTGATCCCAAATGCCAAAATTCCCCGGGCAAATATCATTACCAACGGTGAAAAAACCAAGAAAGCCAAGGCGATATTGGATCGTTACAACAATTATATTCTTACATACCAGAAGCCTAAAAGAGAATAAAAATTATCGAACGCCAAATCATTCATATAAATTCAATGATATAATTAGCAGATAATGAATCTTTTATAATTTAGAAAGAACTTATGTCTAATTTATTTAAATAATTGATTGTTTTGCAAGAGCTTTCAAATCAATTTTATCACCTCGCAATTTTCGAATAATGATATTTTACCGCCGAATCGATCAAATAACCACCACCATGAATGTAAAACATCACCGGAAAACCATCCTTCTGAAATAATATTAATATCGTAAATTCCGCGAAAAAAGAAACAAAATTGTAAAGTTAAAAAAACTAAATTAAAAGTTGAGACCATTTGAAACTAAATGCATTCAATTAAAAATATTGCTTATATGCTATTTAAATCTAAAATTAATAGAATTAAAATTATGCAAATGTATATGCTTAATTTTGAAATGCTAACCTATAACATTGAATTTATTAAGTTATGAAAGGGGTAACATTAAATTTACTAAGTAATCAACAAGTTATCACTTACAAATTCAAGTTGTGGCTTCCATCCCGGTGCGATAATATTCAAATACAGACAATCTTCACTTTTTCCAACACCTAAATCTATTCGATCCCAAAAAAAATCTTTTTGAGGAGCTCGACTTTGATATCGCTTACACTTTAAAATACCACTCCATGGGCAAATCATTTCAGGCTTCTAAAATTATCTTAAATAAATCATTTCTCAATTTCCATCTTATTTTAGAATCATAGATCCTAGAAAATGAAAATTCGAAATAAAAAAGAATTATTTAAAAATTTAATTGCATTTTTTGTGTAATTTAATTTTTCTTGAAGAATATTTAGCATTTTTGATATTTAATTTATTTTCATTTTATGAGCGATAAATGTGCAACGCCGAGCGGAAGTAATCATTCATTCTTGCATATATAAAAAATTTTATCGGAAGAATGAATGTATAAAAAATTTTAACACCAAAAATTTCCATTCCATTTAGCATTCAAATCATTTTAGGATATTTGTTAATTTTTGCAGGAATGAATGTTTAAATAATTCACTTTGAATCGACGTTCTCCGATCGGTGGTTTTGCATATGGTATACCAAGGAAGACATCAACTGGACCTTTGTTGCAATTTAATTGCTTTCCTTCAACAATACCACTTTTAGTTTGAATCTGTCGTGATTTATGCTGCTTCTGTTGCTCATTTAATTTCATCATTTGTGCTGAAAAAGAGCAAACGATGATAATGATTGAAAAAAAAGAGCAATGACCTAAAAATTAATAGGATAATGGATAAATTCAGAATTAACCTAGAAATTGTTATATGAGAAAATTGAAATGTTTTCTTTCGTGAAAAGAATAGCGAAAGAAATAAATTATTCCTAATTTTAATACAGGCAATGATTTCTGTTAAAAAATTGAAGCAAATTGAAAAATGAAACATCTTGCGACATAGTGGTAACCAAGTGCAATGATACATCAATCTTACACAACAATAACATTCCCATTTTCATTTCTATCAAAATTATTTTACAAATAATAATTAAAAGAATTGGGTTATTTGAAAATAAATTGTTAAAATATGTAAATTTTGCAACAATATAATTATTAGATATTAAAAAAAAATATGTAAATTTCATCAAATTTAAATAGAAAATTTTTTGAAAAAATAAAGTTTAAAATGGAAATATCGAAAAATTTATCAATTTAATTTTCATCTAATTATTACCTAATAAATAAATTTTTAAACTATTAAAAGTTGTAAATAATATAAATATAGCAAAATTAGCAATGGGAATAAAGTACAAATAAAAAGAACAAATATTTTAAAAGAAATATTTTTGTTGTAATAAATAATGGAAATTTCAATTTGGAAGAGAAAGAAGAAGCAAATATTACCACTCATTTTCATATATTTATACCACCAAATCGAATAGAACTGATAATGATAATCTTTATCAGTAATGATAATTTAGAATTAATAATGATAATCTATAACGATAAAAACGGTAATATTATAACGACAAGCATGCAATATACGATCATGATACATGATTAATGCAACACACGATCATGCAATACGCAATTATAAAATGCAATCAATAGTACATATGTATATATTCAATATATTAATATGAATAAAATACAGGTTTGCAGCTCTATATGAGGTCAGTTAAAATGATCAGTAAATAACCTCTGAATCAAACAATATCGAAATAATCGAGCACACATTTTCCCCGCTGCAAATAATATTTACTCATCGATTCAAAAAACCTGTTCCTATCGCTATAACCGATGAAATGGACATTTAAAACGTTCGAAATCATAACTTCAATAATTGCTATATTAAAAAAGTGGAAACTATTTTTAATTTAATACCTTAAATTAGGAAATTTTTTTAATTACAATTTCTACCTTTTTTTTCGACAGTTATTCTTTTTATTTGTTATTACTATACATTTAACATAGGTATAATTAAACATAATTAACATTCCTCCTCTTCAAATTTCATCAAGAGAAAAATGGATAGATCGATTGGAAAATTTAAAATAAAAATTTAATTTTATAATGTGAAATTTAATATGAAATAAATATAAAATACTAAATCATATAATTCGTTAAATGAACAACAAATTTTAACTGTAAAATATTTTATCGAATGAATAAATAAAAATTTCGTTGAAAGAAAAAGAAAGAAAAGAAATCTAAGGAGAATGAAAATTGTAAGAAGTACTACTTATTCACTATCTTTGATACATGTTTAATATCCGGTTTTTATGTCCATCACTTTCTTTTCTTTCAATTTACGGAAAGAGAAAGAAAGAAATTTCCGAAAAAGTGTAGTTTTTTTTCGTTATAAAAAGTGAATCTTCTGATAGAGCAGAGATAGAAAGTAAAATTTAATTTTAAGTTACACAAAAATTTCAAATATTAAATAAATACACGTAATTCTTAATTTTTAAAGATTTAGTAATTTCGTCCGTCGAGAAGAACATTTTCAAATATGGATTGTATTGTCGCATAATTTTTGTCAAAATGATCAACAAATTACAAAAGTACAAAATTAGCAAAAATGAAATTAAAGGACAACAAACCAAAAAATAAGGGATGATGAAATAAGAAAATACGATCACATTCACATTATGATATTATTTTAGATGTCCGATCTGTTGTTACTACTTGCGAAGCATCAGAAATGTATTTTAAAACATCGACTGAGAAGAAGAATTTTTTCCCAAAAATTATTGATGAGAATTGACACATCTTAGAAATTCTCCCAGCATTCATCCTCATCCTACTTGATGTTGTCTTAACGACAGATGCATGTAACGCCATAATCAATTCTGTTGTGCAGTCTCATACCTCAAATCCATCATTAAGTAACATCCCTAAACCCTCAAATGCTGAGCCACGTTTCAGAATCCCACTCCTCGGAACATCTTAAAATGTGAAATGAGATTAAAAAATTAGATGCAATCTCATAAAACAAACCACAATTTAACTTCATCACAATTCACATAAAAAGATCGATTGATGTTCACGGAATTTTGAAATGTGGCGAAAGTTTAGAGATCTTAAAACTGTGATATGATGCGCTTGTATTTTAAACGCAGTTCTATTTTCTACCTGAATTGAAATTTCATTTCTTTGTAATCCCAAAAAAAGAATTCCGGTTATTCATTTCTTGAAATCAATGCCTATCATAATATGATTTCACTCCTGAAATATAACTAACAGTTTACTTCCTCGACCGGATTAAACGTCCATTAACGATTGGAATCCCTCGCCCCCTTCCTCCTGAGAAAAAGACATAAATTCCATACACTCCACCCTTTTCTCAACTGTGGTTTTTTCCCATTATTCTACCGCAAATTCCCATTCAACAACTTTTTCTCTTCTCAGTTGTATATCTCCGGAAGTGATCGGATGGATCCATCACTTCGTTTAAGAAATAAATCCTAGAATTATGCTGTTGTCGCTATAGACGACACCTGATTGTCTTCATTATCAACCAGATTTTCCCCATTGATGAATTATCAAGAGAAAAAAAAATTACGAAGACAACTGGAAATGGCAAATGTTGATTTAATTATTGATGTAATTATGACTTTCAATTCAATAACTTCTTTCTCTTCTCAATTGTACGGGATCGGATGAATCTATCAATTCGTTTGAGAAATAAATTTCGCTGCATCTTTTGTTTTTCAGATTAGAAATTTAAAAGTGCTTTTTGCAACAGCAAAATAGTTTTCCAAAATTACCATGACAAGAAATCAAAATTTAACAAAAAACTAGAAGACTCTAAATTTCTAATAAATATTCCATCCAAAAAAACTACCTTGATTATGTTAATTTCCAATACTTCAAACTACAATTATATAATGCTTCTTCAAAACCACTTCACACAAAACTCTATAGACTTAAGTGTTATTATTATACTTATCTATTCCCTCTATGATCAATTTTGAAATGATTCGGTCATAAACTGTATTTTCAATATAATTCTTGCAGTCAATGCACAATATTTCGGGCAAATAATCCTAAAAATCTTTTTGCTTTAAAAATTTGTTTTAAACTTATTTCTATATTTTGAAGATTATATTCGTGAAATATTGAGCAGTGACTACAAAAGTTTATTTTACAGCACAGTTTACGACAATATTCTTCCAAAATTGATTATTGAAAAAAGATTTCCTGAAGACAAACCTATAACATGCAAATGGAACGGTGAACATAGTTTCGCAATATAGCTCATTTTTAACATTCAATAACCGAAATTCCTAAATTATAAGAAAAAAATAAGCTAAGATTCATCAGACAACTTCTAATATATAAATTCAATCACCATACAACTTGACTTCCAATATATAAATTCACTCATCAGACAACTTGACTTCCAATATATAAATTCAATCAACATACAACTTAACTTCCAATAATTCAATCAATGAAATAAATGAAAGAAATAAAGGAACTCCTTAACAAACAAACTAAACAGTACAATAACATTACAGAGTTTTGCTCATATAATATGACGTAATTTCAACAACATTAAAAATAAACCAATAGACATGATGCAAACAAAAAAATCTCACAAACAGCAAACAAAAAAACCTCACAAACACATTTGTAGAGATACATAAGCAATCAACATTATTTTATCTTGAACAATAGTACTCGTTTGCTAAACAATAAAAAACTATGCAAATTTAATCTTAAATAAGAATATCAAAAATCCTCTCCTATTGGACATAGCATCAGAGGTAGGAACAATCAGACAGTACTATGTTTTGATGATTCCTCCATAAGCAAACTCTTAGACTAACACATTATTCAGTCGCTCACTAAGCCACTCCAGAACACTGTCATTATCAACCGAATTGAGCCGACCCAAAATACTGCTACTCGCAATCGGACCAGCATTGCTAAGCGACTGACCGTCGCAGACAATATTTTCAGTACTTTGGTTGTTAATTGTCTAGAAATAAAACGTTAGGATCATGGTTTTCAACAAGCTAATAACAGCAAACAATTCATAATATAGCACACTGAATATTTGCTAACATTTCCGAAACACATATCCACATTCTCAAGTTTCTGATGACTAGAAATGACACTTTCAACAGCATGCTGTGACATCGAATGATTAACCAAATCTACCTAAAGTTATTTAAATCAATTTTAAACCATGATATATAACAAAACACGTACCTCTCCAAAATGTTCTATATTCCCTACTCTATTGGAAACGGGACTTGAGAGAGGATGAAAAAAACCATTCTGTTCTGCAAACAACAAATGTTTCCCGAGAGTAACTGGTGAGCGCATACACTTTGTACTGAAAAAGGAATTGTGTATATAATAGATATATCTTATGCACCATATACCTGAAAACGAAAACGATACTTTGTAATGTTGACGATAAGGAAAGAAAAACTTTGAAGAATTTTAACAATAGGAACCAATATCTACCTTGTATTCATTTGTTCCCCACTAAAACTTTCTGTATGTGAGGAATTGTTCTTGATATTGCCTGAATCGCACATTCCCCTTTGCAACTTTAATAAAGGTTTATCAAAACCGATAAATCAAGCACTAACTGAACTATTTCCTGCGTGAAATGATCGAATGAATTATGAAATTAATAAAACGGAATTAACTGATCAATTCATTGCATAACTAAATTCACCCAACTTCATTGCAGCACAATGAACAAAACCAAAAACAAAGCTAAATAAAAAGCAGAAATTATGCACCAAGCTTGTGAATCTCACGCTTTCATCGAAATATCCATGGATAAACTGGCAACGAGCACCATATGGACAATATTTCCATTTAATAAAGTTGTTACACAACTGAGTTTTATACTTCGGATGAGCCTATAAGATAGAAAAATTTCAAGTCTAATGTAGACTTTGATGCCTGATGACGCCTTGCTGTATTGTCTAAATACCACTTTTAAAACAACACAAACAAACAACACAGATTCCTTAGCAGTACATCATAAGATCAAACCAAATATTCTTGAGTTTACGCAAATAATACACATATCTCGCCTAAATATCCGAACACCATCCCAAAACTTTCTGCTTATTTCCACTTTTCCCTCCTAGTTAACATTCGTACAGCTTCAGCAAGTTTTGTACATCTCACCTTAGGTGGAATACGAAGTTCTTCTTCACCATGTGCAAAAACGCATGCTTCGCCATTTTCACATTTCCCAGTTTTTCGAAATGTTCTACACAACGAAGTTTTGTATGCACTTTTCTTGCGACGTTCTGAAAGCAAGTGGGAAACCAATTGCTAATAATAGCGAAGTAAAACAGAAGAAGTGCAATAGCAGCAATACTCCGGGTGAACATTTAACTGGAATTCATTCACAGCCCTTTTGAAGAACCAAGAAAATACTGCCACTTGTGATGATGAAATTTTCATGAATAGTCAGACTAAAAAACATAATTTACAAAATGACAACTGTAGAGACGGATTCCAGCGATGGCCACCATCGCTGGAACATTGTTGCCATCCGGATGATGCCGGTATTATGATCTCCTAACAGGACTCTTACAACCCACTTTACTTCTCGAAAGAAATTATGATCCGCTGCAAAGTCAGATGAATCCGTTAAGCTGAACTGGAACAATAAATGAATGATTGAAATTTATTAGCATGCTACGCATGTACTAAATGTACTTGATTTTGCTTGATGAACTTGAAATTGATTTTGCCAAAATTTTTGAAATTGAAAATTTGAATGTACTGTCAATTTCATTTCACAATTACGAAAGACAAATGGAATTATAAAGTCAATTGGGTTTCTATTCTTGTCAAGACAAATGGAATTATAAAGCTAATTCGGTTTCTATTCTTCTCGGCGTTACCCATTCTGATTTGCATTAATCGTTGTACATGAATAAATCTACTTTTCCCTTCTTTTCTTTAAAAGATCGAAAAGTTCGGCGGTAATAACAATAAAACAGTACAGTTATGATGAGGAGAAAACCTTTCTTGTTGTGTTTCCCTGACCTCAACGACCTCTTTTACAGGCAATAAACAACAAAACACTCCTAACTGAACCTGTTAGGCGGCAAAAACTTTTGATCAATTCTAACTTCTTAATGTCGAATTTCTCCCTCTTCAAATATATGAACGTCAATCAAGGAAATTATCATGTCGAAAAATATTACCCTATCAACAAAATATTCAATTCTCATCAATAAATATATGTCATTTGGTTCTAAACATGATGAAATCTGAACTTATACAAAGCTTCAGTCTCATCGTGATAAAGTGGGTATAAAAATTGTCGCTTAATTACTTTAACAATATACAACATACCTTTTTTTAACTCTTCACGTTCCACATCTGTTAACATTTGCCAAGTAAATTTTCTTGGACATATTCCTGATCTATTGTCTCCAGGTAAGGCAAACTCACGTCTCTGAAACTCACAAAAATTGAAAATTTTAAAATTCCAATCAAACCCTCACATACCAGCTTAAAAAACTTACGATGAACAATCTTTCGTGATCCAAAATTAGCAATGATGTGGACCGATCATATTATCTCAGAACATCCCTAGAAAAATGCCCTCTGCCATCTTATCAGGATCGCTTTTAGGGGTCATCTCATATAACCAATTCGTGCTAATTCATACCCTTATACTGTTAAATCTTAAAGACAAGAAGAAAAGAATGAGAAAACATATTCAATTTGACCTTTTCCCTATCTATTAACAATAATTCTGAAGCAATGAACAACATGAAAACGTCATTCATTCTTTCACACATCTCCCTACATTCTGCGATATTTGAAAAAAATTAGAATTATTCACAATGCGGATAAATACAACTATGTAGCAATAGAAGGATCATCATCAAACATTAATAATCAGTTTCCAAATTTCATTTATCATTCATAACAAAAAAACCGCGTAATGTTCTAAAACAAAAAACAGTGAGAAAAATTAAGCAGTAAGCAATCACGAATAAAAATTATTCACTTCAATAGTTTTTGAAGATTTTTGATTAATCGCGGATATATCGACGCAATTTAATTTTCCTTGAGCGACTACATAAATCCTGAAATTAAATAGTAAATGATAGTGATAACCGTCACAACTGGTACTACTACCGACTTCAAATAAATCAGAACTCTCAACAACAAAGGTTAATCATGGAAATAGCAATAACCTCTATGCATTCGGTTATAAAACTAATCATTATACTTTGAAATGTAACCGTTCGCTAATTCGATGATTTATGATTCCGTTGCATTGACCGATTAACTATAGTACAACTGCAAATCTCATTCTAGTTTTACTACATGAAGCGAATAATCTTTAATATTCGAACCTAACCAATCTGAACTGCGCATTTGAGTAATGTTTCGATTCAGCTAAAATATAGAGTGAGAAAAATTTGCATGTAAAGGCTAAATATGTTAACAAAAGCTAAGAAAAGAAAAACGTTGGCAGATTTAACCTATTCGGTTCTTGCTGATTGAAATATGCCATGACATGTGGTTCTATACCGTATACTCGGTATAAAAATTCCCGAAATTCCACTGGCACCGGTGCCATACTATCGCATTGTAGTACCAATGAATCGTGTCCCACATTTTTGGAATGTACCATTGCAGCCATCGGAAACACTTATGATGTCAGCGAAGTACCAACATAAGCAAAAAAACTTGAAATTGACTAATCAAAATTTCTGCAATGTACATCTGGAGAAGAACAGAACTCATTTCTTCTGATATCATAAGCAAATGCCTTCATGAATTTTTCTATTATTGACAAAAAAGTATTTCTAGTGTGAAAAACATTCCAGGACTTCTTGTAATATCCTGAATCACTCAAAATCAAGTTATACAGGAATTATAAAACTTCGAAAAAGAACTCCATTCATCTATGCCTTCTTGACTAAAAAATTCAACACACTATCGCAATATCTACAATAATCGCCATCATCTTAGAATATCACTCTCATTCTGTGATCTTTCCTATTAGTATTGCTAATGATTTTACTTTGTCACTTTCTTTTACCCTTTTTAACTTTCAAATGGAAATATATATGGGCCAATAAAGCCAATGCTAGGGAAACAAATAAATGATAAAGAAAATTAAGCATCAACATATGAATTGAAGTCATATTGAATGACATCGTACAATTATACAACGTCTCAGATAATGCTTATCTGTAATCTCAATCACAAATTAATCTTTTTGATATAAACCTAATATGTTTAAACACATTCATATGATTAGCAATCAGTTACTATAAGATATCCTATGCGATAGGAACGTCAACATATACCTACTACAGTATCCTATCCATCAACAACCACATACTATGTAATATAATCTGAATTTAAATCCAATAATATGGATGACCCGACCTGACGAATAAGCATGCAATAATCATAAGACATTAACAATAGAGAGATAGACGGCAAAAATTTATACCATCTCGTACCTCCTCCTTCCTAGCACCGAAAGGATAAATGATTTACGACGATGGATCCTTCTAATCAAACAAATACAGCACAAAGAGACAACGATGATTACGGTAGCAGATAGTGTTGTAAATTGAAACAAAATTGTTGCAAACAAACTGACCATTGTGGTAAAATAACGATATGCGATCCATTGTTTGATGTAGCCAAGTTAAAGCTATAACTGATTGCCCTATCGGTAGATACATGATTGAACGTTCAATTTAATTATTAATGGAACTGAGATGCAGACGGAATAAAGCGGAAAACGATTTCTGAAAGGAAATATCATAAAGACGTCAAGCAAGTCAAGCGCTTACAAGATACTGAAATAGTCAGTGACGGCAATTTTTGTTCACTCTCTAGTATTACACGGATTTGTTGTCATCGATTTATTGAAGCATCAATAATATGTGGGAATCACCATTGTCAGAATGAACAGTTCAGGGTATCATTTCAATCATTGGCCAAGCTTGCTGCATGAATTCACAAACAGTTAAGTTCTTCCACTTCCTGATTCGTTCCCTTTCAACTCCGAAACTTCACACTAAAGGTTCTCGTTTGACAGCAAGGGCATTTGTAGATTTCTTATTGCATCAAATATCATTCATAATAACTTTGAACTCAAAACTGAATAAATCATCACACTGATATAACCAATCAGTCCGTAAAAATCAAAAAGAAATTACTGATCGAAAGAATATCGTTACAATATAATCTTTCAGGATTCCTTTGTAACTAACCATTTTTCATGTGATAAAATCATAAAAATAACAGTTCAAAATTTTAATTACAAAAAAGTGGGCGAAATTCCAATGTTGGAGTGCAGAAAAACAAAAGATACGGCAAGAATAAAATCTTCAAAATGACAATACAAGTTTTCTTACAGCCAAAATAAAGGATGAGAGTGATACTACATAAACTAAGCAATGACAAAAGCGATGAATAAGTAAATAACAAACACTGCAGGATGAAATTCATTGATGTTATTATCTATCAATCAGTATTCTGCACTAACCGTTCTAACATAACACACAGACGTATACATATAAAATGCATTTCCCAGCAATTACGCAACAGATTTCAAAACTCATAATAGATCGAGGAACACTTGTTGAATATTGAAAATTGAAGACTGATCTAGAGTTCTTTGTATTTCTTTTTCATCTAAAAATTCACAAATCCCATAGTTTCAAATCTCATACTTCTTCGCATCTCAATATAAACTCACTGTTAAAATCATCATTTAAAAAGTTTACCGAACAACATACTTGATAAAACAAGTTCGGAATAAAAAAAAGTACACATAAACTTATAGAATAATCCCATTCTCTCAAATATCAACGTTCTGCATCGATAAATAATATATATTCGTAAGTTCTACAGCCCACGATAGAGATATGAAGAGAGAGAAAAAGGAAAACATGAATGATACAGAAGGGAAAACATTCTGTAAACCACTTTGAAATAAAAAGCAATGATATACACAGAATGATATAAGTATAATAATGAAGTCGTGAAAAGTAAAAATGTAACAAATATAACCCGAAAATTTACAACGCATATACGGATGATAATGAAAATATCAAATCACTGTACATTACAGAGCACAAAAAATAAGTCGCTCATACAGAAAGATGGGAGTAAAACGATGACAGCTGATAACAAAATAACCAGATTTAGGTTGGGAATGAAAATAATATATTTACAAAACGAACAAACACAATAGTTGGTATCCGTAAATATCAGAAGAACTATGAGACGTCTCAATTGTCGGGAAATTTCTAGACAATTTGAGGAAAAAAATTAGAATATGCACAAATTTGAAGTCTATTGCAATAAGTAACAATGTTAAAAAGCTACAATTTTGAAGTATGGTACGACATACCGATGCTGCTCATATGGCTAGCGGTTCCGTCATTCCCATCATAATTCTCAAGATTTATTCGTGGAAAACATGATTGCGTGAATGGATTACTGCATTCACCAATACTCCTGTAAATAATTTCAATAATTTGATGTAAAGCTATTCAAATTCGAAACACTTCGTGATATCAAAACGTCGTAAACTAATCACTGTAAATTAGAGAGATATAATAATGCTTTGAAAACTGGAAGATCAAGAATTTGAAAAAAACTTGGTTTAAATACAACTCAGACTTACATTGTACTAAACAAATCATCCACAGCAGTAATATCGGAGTTCAATCCCTTCGAACCACCCAATGGCAGAGCACTCAATGTTTTTTCGACATTATCCACTACATCTGCACTCGGTCGATATTGATGCCAAAAAGCCTGAAATTTAGCAAACAAAAAACTATTTTTGAACTTATCAGTTATCCAGTAGAGGTCAGGCAAGACTAGGTCGCTAGCCATTCCATTAAAATTTTCATGATCCTCCAGTCATTAAAAATGTCTTATTTGATTCATTCATTCATTGTCGTTTTGACACATTATTTCTAGATATAGGCCGATATTACCTAGCTGTTGCCATTCCAAGATAACAATAAAGTCCCATTCAAATTTTGAAAAGAAAATGAATGTTTTCTAATTTTCCATTAAAATCTTTACAATGCTATGAAAATCTATCTGATCCATAAACACTGGAAGCATCAAAAAGCAGATTATGGAATTAACACCCAGATTAATTATGGAAGAGAACTACAAACCTGAATAGCCTCCGAGTTGAAATGATTGGATGACCTTTCAATAGCTTGCAAATTATTATCAGAATCAAAATACCTCCGCGAAAACGAATCACAGCGATCAGATCCTGCTACTTCGACGATACACGCATTCCTTGCACAAAATCTGAAATTCATCAGGAATTTCTATATGGCCGACGATTTGCTAGACTAGAAAACTGCATGTTTCAAAATTTAGATTCCACGGAACATCATTCAGTTCAGCCAACAATAACGTTAACTCATGTTGACATCTCTTGGATATCATATCGTAACCATTTATTCTAGGAATAAATATCCCAAGTAGATCTGTTCCATACCTTCATATTTGCTTCTCATCTTTAATATTTCTAACTACTGAAATCACTGAATAATATTTCTTTCCTAGTGTAAACAAAATATTTAAGTTACTACGATTACAGATAAATAACCTCGGCCTTGCAACCCTTGAATAATGCCGATATTGCAGTGCATGTCTACTACCACTATCGAGACTTGTCGCGAAATTCATACGTACCTGAAATCGCCCGAACTTCGGAATCTCCATAAACAAATGGACAGATAAATATACTAAGCAGACTAGAAACTCCAAGAATGAATAAAATATGGCATCCCTTTGATGAAATCTTTCAAAAAACCATGCGAATATTAACTATCGATAGCTTAATCAGCTAATAAATTAAATAGCATATGTTGAACAATCATATTTTTAAACCTCTTTTATAAATGGAATAAGACGGCCTCCTGTGTATGATCATCCTAAAACCAAACTTACAGTTGTGAATAAATGGATATTATAAAAATTTAAACAACTGTGAATTTCGCAGCCATCAACAAATAAAAGCTTACCAAATCATTTTGCATTTCTTGTGGGCGCATATGAATAAACTGACAACGACTGCCATATGGACATGAGCCATATAAGGCAAACTTGTTGCACAACTGCGTCTTGTACTTTGGATGTGGCTGAAAAGTCAGACGTACTACAAATTACGTTACTGATGAACTGCTAACAAAGATTTCTCAAAAAATATTCGGATGGAATTCTTTGCGCAGTTAACGATAAGTTTTTTTAGAAAAAGATTCAATGCGGAGAGGTAAAAAGAAGAAAAAATAACTCCTGAGCAGAAATTCCACTAATGTACAAAAAAATTACCTCTGGTGCAGGACGTAATTCGTCAGTGCCATGTGCAAACCGGCACTGAAGACCATATGCACACTGTCCAGTATCTCGGAATGCATTACAGAGTGATGTTTTATATGCGATCTTCCGACGACGTTCTGGAAATTAAAATGAAAAAAGAATGAATCTAGGGCTTTACTCAATATGAAATGAACATACCTCTTTGCAGCAATTCTCGTTCTTTATCAGAAACCGCTTTATGCCATTCTGGTTCATTTACACGACGCTAAAGCAAGAACATTAAAAGATCCAATAACTTGACGTTTACACTATTAACTTAAGAAGGATCAGATCACAGTAATAATTCTTGCACACTGACGATTCTCAAGTAACCTTGGAATTCACCTTAAGATTGAACTTCAAATGTTTATAGCTTTATAAAATAATAAGATGGTGTAAAGCAAGAGCAAGGAAAAAAAATGTTCAAATAAAAACGTTCTCCAACAATTCCAGGCGAAATAAACAAATTTGAGTCCGGAAAACCCAAATTAACCAAGTAAATCATAACCGATGCAACAGATGAAAAAAAAACGCATACTACTATCGTCGAAGGTGTTCGATGTGATGTAACCGGTGTCAAAGGTGGAGCTACTCGTCCATCTCCTTTTGCATCTTCCAAAGGTGACTTAGAACTTACTTTCACACCATCACTGCTAAACTGCTGTAAAGAAATAAGTAAGAAAAGTCAGAAGTGATGTGAACATAAAAAAGACGCAAATTCTTACCATTACATAACGATTACAACTTGCCATAAGCGATTTATTAGAACGAACATGTGCATCAAGATGTACCGCGTAAACACGAGGTTCAAAACAGCAATTTGAAAAAGAGTTAAGAATTAGAGAGCTGATTTCAGTGAGGTGAAAATAATAGTTTCGAAGGTTACTGCAGCTATGTAAATCTACATATAAGTAAAAATAATCATAGGTCTGAAGAAATCTTCTCAGTCTCGCCCTATGCATGAAGACTTGGCAATTGCTACTTCACGTACAAACTATACATGCAGACATATATCCTTTTGCTTTCAAACTCATTATCCATCAAATATATAGAGAACCATTACGGGAGGGTTGCTGCCCTGTTGAATTGTTTGCCATGCAGACAAGTCGACCGTTCGCAATTGTCCTCGATACAAGACAAAAAGCCTAAAATACACACAATAATATAACAGCTATGATCATCATTCAAAGTTTTTTTGAATTACTTCATTAAATATTTCTTGGAATCATTTCATTCACACTTCATTCATATTACAAAAGTTTTGGCATACAGATACCCTGGATAAATCGAAAACCATTATGACAACCTAGATAAGTCGACGTTAACTAGGAAAACGAGAATGAATCAGAATGCGTTAAAGAATACATCTATCAGTTATTGACCTTGTGAAAGTTTTTCTCAAATTTTTTGACAATCATTTTACAATTATTTTCAGTTGCCTTCCTCTCTTACAATGGGAGGGTTACTGCCTGTTGCTTTAAACCACTTTAATGTTATTCTTTCACCCAAAAATAACTTTTAAAAATATAAAAAAATTGATACGAAAGAGTGTAAGATAAAAAAGAAAGGAAGGCAACTAACAATAATAAAATGAAACTAACTTATTAGGATTATTGGGTAGAATGTACAAATCGGCACCCTCTTCAAGACCATAACATTGTTTGAGTAGCTGGCGTAATTGTATAGGAACAGCTTCAATAATAGGTTGCTTCTGATTGAAAACCGGTGGTGTTACTAGCTGTCCATGTAATGATGGTACTATGGCTCTTTGAGGACTCATAGTTGATAGCATCGTAGGTTAGTAATATATATGGTAGTAATAACTGAAAAGATAAAAGTGTATTCGAGAAAATTTAATAAATGGGATTCGTATTTCGTGTAATAGTTAAAATTCGCCTATGTCAAAATATTTCTCAACATTTCCTATCCAACTGAACCAGACATTTATCATTCAAGGTGTATTTAAGACTTCTACTTGTAATGAATATCAACTTTGACAGATGGATTGAATTATAATTTTCACTGTATATACTTACTTATCGTATAAACATTTTCAAGTACCACATGAAATAAAGAACCAACATAAAAGAATTCAACATTCGTTCAGTAGAAAGCTTACAAATGCAGAGAGAATTTATATTTGAAAAATTTTCGAATAATGTTTACTGAAAATATCTGATGCCACAACGGATGAAAAAAATTATATTCCGCGGGAATAGTAAAGGTCAAATTATGAAAATTATGGGAACTAACGCGAGACAATAATAGAAACAATGATTAATGTAGCAAATATCCTACTAACTTCCACCAATTTCCATAGTATGTGGATCGATAATGCGCACTTTATTATAACCTCGAAATATTCTAACCTCGAATTTCTTAAAGATAAATGGACAGGCTTAAACATTCTACTAAACTCTTCAAATGTCATTTTATTAGCATTCTACTAAATTCTTTTATTTTAATGTAAAATCACTGACGTAATAACAGACAGTATTTTAAAACATTATATGTTTCCTATCAATACAACAATTTAAAAACGCAATATTATTTTAATGCTAAAAACATAGTATCCTGTAGTCTTTTGGGAATTATATAATTATCAGATTGGAAAAACGACTTCATGCGGACTTACAGGCAAAACATTGTTGTAATTCCCGCATTTACCTTAAATTACATTAACATCATGGCTGACATCCTTTCTCAGTTATTGCTTAATTACTGCTCACCGGTTCGAGTATTTTTAGCCAAAAATTGATATTACAGTACAGAATTGCACCGGTTGTAAATGCTTAAAAGTGGAGCATTAAAGGATTATCCGATAACACCGGAATACTTCAGAAAGTATCAGTATTAATCTCACGAAGAAATTTTCTTCATAAAACTCGTCAATAGTTATCCTCATAATTTGGAAACAAGTGCTGATTTTCCGCAAGTGTTGATTTTCCATGTTTTATTCACATCTTATATGTATCCAATAGTGAATAGGTTACGAATACGAACGGATATCTCAATCGGGTACCCGACAATTACACAACTGACAATCATCTCATATATCAGATATCTCAAAATCAGCTCATGGATATTAGGGAATATTCTCATCCGGATGACTGATAAATATATCAACCTGATTAACCAATAAATGTACCAACTGGATACCAACTGGATAAATATACCACCAACCGGATATCAGACAATTTCACAAATAACCTGAACAAATTGTAAAAACCTAAAACGACTAGCAAAACAAACGGGAAAAACAAGAAATGAATAAACGAGGCATTATAAAATAGTGCTTTGATCAATTTGGCAGACGAGAAAAAAAGGGAAAAAGGTTACGGTAATATTGATGAGATACAAAGGAGAAGGATTGTGATACAGTATCCTTTCTCTCTCTCTTCTTTCTGCTGTTATCTTCCTTCAGCGATTTCCTCTGAGCTCATCCAAAAATTCTTTTGCTTTTCTTTTTTGTAGATTAAGGAGGGGACGTGAAACGTGTAAATATATTTGCAACGTGCTGATATTAAAATAATATTTGAGAGAGAGAAAGGGAATGCGTGGGGGGATATTGTTGGAATATTCCGATAATAGATGATATGAATTATGTGGGATTGTTGTTTTGTGACGTATTGATATTTGATATGAAGAACGTGACGTACGTGGAAAATTTAAACATTAGTTTTTATTTAATAAAATCTTGTTTTTCATTGATTTTTTTTCTTATAATGTATTGTTTTTGCTGTTTATTAATTTATTAAGCTGGATGAGTTACAACATTACCTATCAGGTAATTGAATGAAAAGATGATTTACAATATTATCTGTGATAATTGGATGTCGAGAGACCTAAAGTTTTAAATAGTTACCGGGTAGGTCATGGACTAATTGACTGTTTTAAATCATTCAAATTATCTGACAAATAATGTAGGTCATCCAGTTATTTAATTATCTGATAGGTAATGTTATAGGTCATCCAGAGTTGTTCAGTTTACCTGATAGGTAATGTTGTAAATTATCCAGCCACTCAATTATCTGATAGGTAATGTTGTAGGTCATCCAGTCATTTAATTATCTGATAGGTAATGTTGTAGGTCATCCAGTCACTCAGCTGGTAGGTAATGTTGTAGGTCATCCAGTCATTTAATTATCTGATAGGTAATGTTGTAGGTCATCCAGTCATTCAGTTAGCTTACAGGTAATGCTGCAAGTCATCCAGTTATTCAATTATCTGACAGGCAATGTTACGCAGGTTATACTTTCATTGAAATAGATCAATTCCACTTGATTGAACGGGAACGATTGATTAATTTCTGGATATTGAGCGATATGAGTAGTTGATTTGGAAAATGATGATACATCTTTGTTCTAAGAATGTTAAAGACGAAATTTGCTTTTGAATTTAGAGTGATAATCCTATTTCATTTTAATTTATACAATTGTAAATATAAATTATATGAATTAGAATTTTCTTTCTTGCTATTTGATATATTCACAGGTAGTAGCACAAGATTAAAGGTATTAATATTTAATTAGTAATACCAAAATTATGTTTTTTATCATTTTCCGCATTTATTTAACTAATAAAGTTAACACTTAGTTGTTCATTTTCTGAATGCTTGTATTATCGTACTACGTAATTCTAATGCCTAAATTAAAATTAAAGAATTTATAGTAAAGGCATTTTCAATTTTTGTCATATAGCAGCACCATCTTTTAAATATTGGTGAAATGATCTTCAATTCAAAAAGAAAGAATCTTGCAAGATAATGGGAACATCTTGTAAATATAAATAATTTTTTAATTTATAGATAAAATATTTTCTTCTGAGAAAGTCGTCGTGAAAGTTTGTTCAATTTTAAACGATCCGCCGTTTTTGCGTTTTTGAATTTTTCTTTACACTTACTTTCTTGCTCATTTTCAAGAAATAACAAAGCTTCCTTAACCATATAAACATAACGTGTATTAATAATAGGTCGAAGAAATGAATTCTCAAATTATTATTAACCTTATTTGTAATTAAATTTCGCTTTTTTTCACATCGAAAACTGATCATTCTCATATTTCATAATTCTTTCTCAACAAAAAACATCTTCACATATTTATTGTTAATCATTGTTATATTGATAATTTTACGTGGGATGTGTTAATTTGTGACGTATTGTTTTCACGTTTATACAATACGATGCACGTTTATAAGCAATGTATTTTATGATTTCATTAATTTTACACTGATTCCATTCTATTCTTTTCAAATTCATCAATTTTAGTTGTAGAAATGAAGAAAAAATTGAAAATGTTTTTAACAACCAACGTCTACAAACCGGTTTTCTTTGAATTTAAATTTAAACTAAGAATATTGAAATTTATTGAAGGAAATTACGGATAGTTTTAATATGTTCTTTCATCATAATGATAATGTATATTTTTCGGATTAAAAAAGAATCATCGAATCATAATATCGTTCCTGTCAAAGTAAATTTACGAAAATAAACTAATTTTCTAAAACATGTGATAGCTTACGTGGTGAAGAAGCATTGATATGAAATCAATAAATTTTCATAATTTTTTTAACAAAATTTTGTGCAATTTCTTTGAACACTAATAAGTATTTGAAAAAGTTCGAGAATTTGTCACTCGAATTACTGATTAAAACTGATTGTTATTAATAGGAAAGGAATTTTTTATTGAAATATAGCTGGGAGAATTCTCATATTTTATCAAAACTAATGATATAGGATCAAATCCCATTATTTTCTCTCGGCAAATTACTCTTTATCGATTTTATCATTGGTACTTTTTAATACCAATCTTAGCAATAACGAACGATCGATGCACTGAAATAGCAATAAACTTTTTAATAGTTCCTCCTTTCTGTTTGCTAATCCATTTTATTAATTAATTATAGCTAATATCGGCAGTTAATCGAATTACATGATTTCCGAATAGTTTTTTGATCGCTGTCATCTACGCTAGTGTCATCCATTTTTTTAGTTCTTTGAGATGGGTATTAATCTACTCTTACTGTATCATGATAACCTCTGATATTTTAATGTTAAAGAAACGTCCAGCACTTTAACATATTGCTTTCAGTTCTTTGTTTAATATCAAAATATCACTAAATCATCTTCGGATTGCAAGAAAATAGTAATAATTTTATGGAAGATGAATAAAAACCCTAAAATTAAAGATACCTTTAGAAAATAAAAAAAAATGTGAAAGTGTAATAAAGAAAAAAAAGTGAACAACAGATTCTTCTCATCTTTCCTGAATACCAATGATTCGTGAGAACATTTAGCGCCATTTCGGTCATTTGAGTCGATCAATAATCATCATTGTCGTGCTTCTCTCAGTTAATTTAGAATCCTATAAATCCGATAATATACGTGATTTAAACAGTTTCTCTTATAATTAGGATATAATAAAAGTAGTTTTTCTTTTTGTACTAACCGTACAATTCATGCATAAAATCATCAGTAAAAGGATTATTGTAGTTAAGAATTTTTAATTAAATATTAACTTCATTACTGTAATCCAAAATTTTTTTTACGGAAATATTAAAAATAGGAGTGATCGTTATGAAATTATCGATCTCAGCATTAACTTCTCGGTATTATGCAAAAGAGAAATAAAATTTAAGCTTTTCTTCAAATTACACTTATATTTTTATATTTACCAAAACAATGTACCTAAGTGTCGGCGATCATATCAAGCTATCGAAAATGATTTGATTAAATTTATGAAGTGAATATAATTAAACATATTTTTTAATAAAATGCTTTGATTTTTTATGTTG